CATATATGTATATTTTTATGTTTATACATTTTCATTCCTTAATTTTTTTTTATATTATTTTTTATTAATGTTTTATAGATAATATTTGGCAACACTTTTCTCTTTCTATATTATACTCTATAGTCTACATTAGAAAATGTTATTTAAGTTGATTTCTATATTTTGTAAATAATTTTATATATGTAAATATACAAAATGTGTCAGAGATTAAAATGGTACACTCTATAAGCAATAGAATGACAGGATAGTTCTTCTAAACGAATGAAAAATTATAGATGATATTTTACGATATCATAAATTATTTGTTGAATCAAAGTCAAACTTTATTTAATTTTTCATCACATTATGTTCGAGTTACTTTTAGTAATATGGCAATTAGATTCAACATAATTATATCAAAAGCATTTAAAAAGTCCATGAAATTCTTAGTCGAATGAAATTTCACGATATTGTTTTTAACTGCACAAAATATTAAATTACAAAGTTATTAGAGCAAAAAATAAATTTAAATTTTCCCTTTAGAATTGTCAATGTTATAAATTATAGGAAAAAATTGTGATTTTTGTGGTAACACCTAACATGCTAACTTTCTTTGAATTCAAATTTTGTGGCAAAACTTTCAAGAATGAAGTGACAACATAAAGTGACAACACCTATATGAAGTGATAACATTAATAAATGACTTTTAAATCCGTTTTATCGTCTTGGTTTGGAATTATCATCGAATCCCTGACACTTTGTATAATTGTATAATTAAATTAATACTTAATGTATTATTATTATACGTTCTGAAACATTTATGCAAACTGTCAATTTTATAAATTTTCTTTTTCGTATATACATACATACATATATAGATTACTAATAGATTAATTAAGAAAAATAGAATATAAGTACTTAAATATTTAAAATGTACCAAAAACTTAAGTGACTTATTTTTTTTTTTTTGCTAAAAATATAAATTGGATATATCACATTTGTTGTACATTGCCGCTCATTTATTTATTTTTTTTATTTTCTTGGATTTTGAATGAATTGATTATATAATTTTAATACAATTATTGAAAATCTTAAATGTTGCAAAATATAAGAAACAGTTTCTTTTATTCAAAATTTTTAATGTCGTTCAGCACGTTTTTTTCAAGTTTTCGGGAAACTGTGGAGCGTCATGCGCTTGATTATAAAATGATAAAATAAGAACAATAATTAGTAATATTTAACATACAATTTAAATTTGCCATCAGAAAATCAACTAAAAACTTATTTCAACTGTACTATTGAACAGAACTTAAATATTATTCAATAATTAATATGAATGAAATCGAACATGAATTTATTATCGTAAATTTATAAATTTGTAAAAAATGATATTTCATTATGACCTTAATAGTTTTGGATTCACAGTAACATTTCAAATTTATTTATTACATACATACATATAATTTAATTTGAATGTATTATAATTCTTTATAGAAAGAACCAACTGCTTATTTTGTATTTAATAAGATTATCCTTTGTCAATTTTATATATTAAATTTCATTTCATATGTGTAAGTTAAAGAAATTTCTTATACTGTAAATTGTTGCAAATTTATGCAAATTAACAATTATATAAAAAATTTCAATTAAATTTTTTTTTTCTTATTTCCTCTTCAGCTGGTATACTCTTCTACATTAACCGTTAAATATTAAAATGCTATTTGATTGAATTTACTGCTTTAAGATGGCAACATTTATAATTTTGATTTACAAAATATTATTCTTTAGTTCTCCTTAAGTTTAGTAGCTCCTTCTACCGGAATTTTATTCTTCGACCAATATCGTTAACTTAAATTCGTAATAGAGTTAGGAGATTTGAAGTGAATTTATGCTTAAAAATATAATTTATATTATTATTTTACAATATTCTTTAATAAAGCAAGAGTTAATTACTTGATATATACATTATGTATGTGTAGTTCGTCTGCTGAATTTGCTAATGAATGGAAGTTTATCTCTTCTCGAATTACCAATTACAGAATAAAACCCATTGCTATTGTTATCCCATGGATTCAAACTGAATTTGAGTAATTTTGTCTGTAAATGAAAATCAATTATTATTAATCAATTATTTTTACGATTAAGATTATTTTTAATAATATTTTCAATTTTGTTAATTTGGAAAAGAAAAAATAAAAATTTTCAAATATAAGAATATAATTTTCATTTCTATTTAAATGTTATATACTCGTACAAATATACAAATAAATAAATTAAATGACTGAACTTTTAAAAAGACCAATAAATTTTCTCAAATAAATCATAAATTTATTTTTTAATTTTTCAATAATAAAAAAGTGAAAAAAAAAAATATTATAAAATTTATTATTTGTCATATTCAATAAAATTTAAATTTCAATTTTATTTTTAATTTTTTCACTTCAATCTCATGATTTGTCAAAATTTTTAATATTATAGTGAATACGTTTAAATATATTAATATTGTTTAATAGCTATTAAAAAAATACATTTAATATTGACAACTACACCCAGATACACATATAAAAATTTTCAGAGTTCAATGTGTACGATTCAATATGACTTCACTTAATTCCAAACAAGTACTAACAGAAACAAATTTACCTTAATTTTTGACTCATATTATATGATTCTATAGATTGTTTTTAATTTTTATTTTTTTTGTTATATTTTCTATTTACAATCGACTTATTCTAGTCATAATTAAATGTTATGTTAATATTAAAATATATCACATGTAAGATATCGTCCAATTGATCTACCATCTTCAATTACAATTCAAAGTTTTACATTTTTTACAAAATTACATTATTATTTCACAGTTAAGTTTCTATTATCTAGGTTAAGAATTTGCCATCGTTTTAGGCGTGATATGTCATGACTTGTGTTTGTTAGTTTTTTGGCTAATTGATTGGGATGGTTTTCTAATTTTATTTTACATTTTCTGCAGTGACTTCGTATTTCATCTTTTATAGTAGGCATTTTGAGATATTCATGTATTTCTGTGTTTTTGGTGAACCAAGGAGAATTCGTAATTGCTCTTAGTACCATATTATGATATTTTTGTAATATTTCAACATTGGAATTGCTAGCAGATTTAACACTTGTAACACGTAAAACTTCATTTAAAGGTCCAATAAGACTTGCGTTAAAAACTTAATACTTTTAAGACAGTATACGTGAATTCCCGTCCTTTATTTTTCAACTCTTAACAATGAATTACGAAAATTTACTTATTTTGAATTTCATGCAATTAAGCAAAGACAAGATAAAAATTATTACCATTAAAACATGAAAGAATCTGCAATTTTTCTGATTATAAACTTTTCACAGCATACCGTCTGTAAATGCGTTTTTAAGAAATTTAAGGATGCATTGAACACAATATTTTCTAATTTTTCTTATATGACTGTTAAAGAAAATTTAATGTTAAATTATGCACCTAATGTTCCTTTACTGTTCGTTTACCTTTACTATTCGTTAAAATTCGAAAACAAAAATTAATATTAATTGACAATTTTATGGAATTCCTTTTTTTATCAAAACAAATATTTGATTGATAATTGATTTTTATTAATTAATAATAAATTAAAAAAAAAAAAAACAAATAAAAAAACAAAGAATACAAAAGATCAATTTAAAAAACGAATGCATTTTTGAATTTAAATGAGAAAGTAGTAAAGTTGTTTCTATACTTGCATTGTAATTGTATGTGTGTTTTACTAATGTCACAATATTTTAATTATAAGTGACAACACTATAGAATTGCATATAAGTGAATACTTGCCATATAAAATTTTGATTAATTTATAATTGGTTATAAATAAACTTCGCTTTATATTTGAGTATTTACGCTCTTAAAATATATATATGTATGTATATGTATACTATAATAAATTTCTAAATTACATTTTTCATTTTACTTTATAAAATTCTTATTTCAAAATAAACCTCCATTATTGTGTTCAATGCAAAGGCAAACGCAATTCAATTCAAGCAAATCGCTGAAAATTATCCAAAACTTGTATTCGAAACTTAGCGGTTAAAATCGTGATCTCTCTATTTTACTCGCCAAGCGAGAAGAAAGTTAGTGATTACTGATCTACATATTTGTAAAATGTAATTTTCGAATGACAAAAAATTGTTCGTATTACGTAACTCGTTTTTTATAAAATGTGTCCAAAATTTAGTTTGATATTTTGAGTGAAATTCGGTTAAAAAATGAGTAGTCTTAAATGAAAAAATGACATTCAATTAAAAAAATGAGAATTCTGATATGAAATTGAGTAAAACGCGACACAAAAAAAAAACGAGATATAGAATTATGTTGTTGCAACCTGATTAGATTCAGAGTACTCAGATTGCAATCTGATATTAGATGAATACAATGTACCCTGTCATTTAATGACTTTTGTAATGAATTTTAGATTTAGAAATATTTTATTTTTAAAAAATAAATGAAAAATTTTCAAAAGTAAGATCTTTCATGTTTTTCGTGCTTTTTATGACAATTTGACATATTATGACGGTATGACGATTTGACATTATTATGATGCTTTACTTTCAAAAATTACCGTTTTAGTATATGACAAAACTGAGCTTTTCAAAACCTGATATTTTAACATTGGACAGTTAGAGCGTATTGTAGGTACTTATATTTTCGATTTAAAAAAAAAACACTAAAAATTTTAGTATCTTTGAGCACTCTGGAATATTAAATGAACACGAACAAAATTTTTTTTGTTTTTTGATGGACCTGAATTTTCTCTAGGGTATACAAAATAACTTTAGGTAAAAGAGTATAAAATTGCTCTACGATATTAGATATAGAAATTATGATTTTTCACTATTTTTCCAATTTTATTCTTGTCTGAATTAAATAAAAATTTTTTCCTTTGTTATTAAGACTTAATTAAATTGATTTTTTTTTTTTAATAAATATTTTATTTAATTTTATTTTTATATTATTATTATATTTTTAGATATGAAAATCTTACAAAATAAATTACTTGGCACTGGACGCAAATTGCGGCAGGAACCAATTCAACTTTGACGAATCAGTTAAATAAAATAACAACAACAAAAAAAAAAAACTTCTAAATCACAACACCTACAACAACAACTATATTAAAAAAAAATCATTATTGATTAAAGATTTAAAGAAGAAGAAAAAAAATTTTTTTTTTTTGAAAACAACAACAACAACAAAAAAAAAAGGAAATAAAAATAATAATTTATTTTATTTTTATATAGAATACAAACATATACATACCTATATTAATATTCATATATATAAATTATCTATTATATACCAAACTATTATTTATTATTACCATTTGTATATGCAATTATTAAATTGATTAACACACATAATAATTATAAAATTATATATATATATAAACATACTTTCTATTATATACCTATATATATATAATAGAGAAGGGCAGAGAAAATATATATACATACATATTTGAAAAAGAATCCAGCAAATTTTATATATAATCTTCATCGTTATATATATATAAAGTATATTTGTACATATTGTGTACGTTTGCAGAAGAAATGATTTAAGGATTTTTTAATTTAAAGGAAGTAAAATCATTTTCACTTTTAAGCAAAAAAAAAAACAAACACAAAATATTAAATCCGAAAATCAACATTTTTGTGTTCGTTTATATACTTCAATTTTAATTACCATACCAGAATACTAGAAATAACGAGATAATTGTAGAAGAAAAAATAACAGCAACCAGAATAAATAGCAGAAATTTGAATAGTAGTAGTTCTTTTTCAACTACACAACAAAAATATAATAGAATAAAAATATTTATATAAAAAAAACATATTATATGATATATAATTTTTGAATTTTACAAATATTTGGGAAAAAAAACAAAATTTTCGATTTTATATTAATTAAAACGCCTTAATTATTTAACAAAAAAAAAAATTTAAGGAAAAAAGTAGAAACCAAGAAAAACATCACATACATTTTATTAAAAATCAACAAGGAAATCAACAAATATTCTTGAATTTTTTATAATTGAAAAAGAAAACAATAATTTTGCAAAATATTAACCATATTAATTATTTTTTTAAATTATCATCAAATAATTTTTAACAAAAAAAATTTTTAATATTATTTTAATCATCATACAATTTTTCATTTGGTTTTTTTTGGATCCGTACTTAAATTTCAAGAGAGAAGAAGAAAAACACAAAAATAATTTTATAATTATTTTTTTATTGGTAATTTACAAGAAAGCTATAATTTTTAATTGAAAAAGAAGAAAACAACAAAAATTTCATTTAAAATAAAAAAAAAAAAATGGGTACTTAAAAGCATAAAATGAATAAATCACACCTTTTAGTTTATTTTTATTTTCATTTTCAAATTTAACAATTTTTAATTTTTCTCTTCATATTAAAAATAAAACCAACATTTTTAAATATTCTTTGTATTCCAAAAAGAATAAAAAGAGAAGAAAAAATAATATTGATTACACTTTTATTATTACTACATAATATATATATATACACACATATTGAAAAACGTAATAATATTTGAGAAAAAAAAATATAATTAAAAAACAAAATATATAAGATTTTATTTAAAATCTAAAAAGAAAATTCCGATTATTGAATAACAAAAACAAAAATATTACAAGGAGCAAAACAGACAGAAAAGAAAAAAAAAACAGAAGATAAGATAAACAAAAAACAAATTTTCTGCCATAATTATTTTTTTCTTTTGCAAAAAAAAACAAAAGGAGAAAAAGAAATAAAACCCAAAAAGGATATTCAACATTTTTACAATCAACCATAATTTATTATATTTTCAACATATTTGCAAAACAGCAATAAAAATTTTCATTTAAAAATAAAATTGCATAAACATAGGAGGAGAAAAACAAAGAAAAGGAACATAATAAAGTTTTGAACAAAACGAATTAAATATTTTTTTGTAATCCGAAAAAAAAAATACTTTAAAAACGCGCAAAAAAATCTACCAACCAACCAACCAACACTCATCAAACTATTTAATATTCAATTTTTCAAAAAACAGAAGGAAAATATCATATTTATATAGATATATATAAATATTTAAAGAAAATTATATCACCAGAAGAATTTATATAATACCAAAAAAAAAATAAATATTGTATACTATTAATAATTATAATATTATCATATATAAAAAAAATAAATTCAATCAAAACTAACAACAAAAATAAAGAAAGCAGATCAATTATCCAACAACATTTAAATACAAGAAAAATAAGAGAAAAAAATATAAGCAAGAAACTACAACAAATTTCAAATTCATTTCTAAATTAAATTATATTTTATACATAAAATTTTGCTTTAAAACCAGAAAACAATTAAATCTATTAAATTAGAAAAAATCTATTTATATTTTGATAAAATATTTATAAAAAAGCAAATATAAGTCCGCAAAGCAAAGCAAAAATAAATTTTCATTGATATTTTGTTTTATAAATTGTACAAAATACAAAACAAAAAAACAAAATTCAAATTCTATCTCCAAATATTTAACAACGCTCTATAAGCAAAATATTATTTTATATTAAAAAAGAAAAACAACAAAAAAAAAACAACCCAACTTCAACTGATTTTTTTATATTTTAAAAACAAAAAAAATTGTCTTTCCACAAAAAAACAAGAAAATTTAAAGAAAATTATTATATACAAGCAAAATACATAAATATAAAAAAGCTGATAAACAAAAATCCAAATTAAAAACAATTAAAGAAAATAATTTTGATAAATATTAAGGAATTTAAAAAGAAAATAAGAAAATTTACTTTACAACATAATTTTTAAGTCAAATTCAATTAAATAGGAGAATAAAAATTTTACAATAATTATATTACATAAATAAAAAACACAACAAAACAAAATGGATCCATATTCTACAGAAATTTTATGGATTGTAATATTAGGTAAATAAAAAAAATTATATTTAATCTACTCTTTTTTTTTTTTTAATTTAATTAATCAATATTTTAAATAAATTCTGTGATTTTTATTAAATTTAATTAAAGTAATTTAACTACATTTTTATTATTCACATTATTATAATATAATTCATATATCACAATATTATACAAAACATTATAATATACATACCGTGATTTCAATATTGCTTTATAAAAAATTTAAATACGGTATTAATACGATTGTATTATCGTCTCAGAAACCTTTACATTGTAAAAAAACAAAAACTACTAAAGCTTTTGATACATTTTGGAATACAATTTTTACAATATTAATATATACTTTGACGTTTATTTGAAAATTTCCATTTAAAGTTCCGTGGAAATGTTAATTTTCAAAAAACGTTTACCACATAATTAAAAGCATATCATTTTTATACTGCATTTTAGAAAAAAAAAAAAGAACTTAATAACTAGCATTTTATTACTGAAAATAAATGCTAGTTTATTTAATTGGTTATTTCTGGTAACATTTTTATGACATGAAATATGAAATATGCTCGATTTTTTCGATACCCAATTTGCTTTTATTTTACGTATCCACTATGTATAGAACGCATTTTGAAAAAGTGTACAACTTCTTTTACTAAACTTTTTGGAATGTAATGCTTTGTAAAGTTTACGTTGTTAGCGCTTTATTGAAGTCACAGATAATACATTACATAGAAATCATATATTATATTACATTATATATATATATATATATGTACTTATATTAATTGTAATTAAATAATTCCTATTTGTGTGTTATTTTTAAAATAAGAACCAAAATTTTATATACACATATTATTTATATATAAATATGAAAGGTTCAGAAATTAATTAGTATATTAAGCAAGTAAAATTGTAGTCTCGCGAAAAATTAATAATCAAAAAAAAAATTTGAATAACGTTCAGTTTCCAAAATTACAAAACAAATTATAAAAAGTACGAACTTAGTCAAATAAAAATTTTTAAAAATAATACATAATTTGTAAAATGAAATTATAATATATTGAATAATAAAATTAATTTTTTAAAAATAAGTTGGAAAATAACTTACACTGATTGTCATTTAATTAAAAATAAAAATTAAATATATATAAATGTTAAAATTTATTATTTTACTTCACAATTTATTTGTAATATCGATTTTGGTTGCAAAAATTTTAAAAATAATCACTAATAATTCATTAACACACACTAAGAATTTTATAATCTGAAAGAATACAAACATTTTTTTTTTTGTAATTTTCTGATACTATAAAATTAATTTTGAAATTTTAAAATGAAAACCTTATACATTAAATAATACAAATTATAATAGTTTATTAATTTAATTACCAATTCAATTGGGATGATTGGATTATTATTTATGGTTTATTTTGAAAGTGACCTAAGTCCAATTTAATGAAAAATGAAATATTGTTCCGTTTGGATTTAAACTAACAAAAAGCTCATTTGGTTATAATTAAAAATTTGTTTTTATAGAATATTTATTATCGTGTCCAAGAAGATAAGTTTCAATTCTAATTCATTGATCATTGGAAATAAAAGAGTTTTAAAATTGTAAAATTTCAAAATAATTTATAAAAGTAAACAATAAACTGTTATACTTTAAATAATAAACTATCATCATCTCAAGTGTGGATAAGTTTAAGACAATGTTTTTGTATTTGGTACATTCTAAAATAACAATTATTTACAAATTATTTACATTACATTTTATGTTGAAAAAATCACAGAAATTTAATAAATATTTTAATATTTTTGTTTAATATAAATTTAAAAAACAAAAAATTTTATTGGGAAATCAATGTTCCGCTGTTTCAATATTACGAGTATCTATTCAATTTACTTGCACTTGTACAATCTTCTTACTTCTGTACTTCGGTATTCAATATAATTTGATATATCATTTCCTAAAAACAAAGAAATATTAAAATTAAAAATTTAATTAATAAAAAAAAAAATATCAAAATTAACTAATTAAAAAATTAAAATTGCAAAATTCTGACATTTTAACAAAAAAAATTTTTATATCAGACAATAATTAAATAAAATTATTCTTCTGACATAATATTAAAATCATAATATTTCGATTCTTTATTAAAAATTAATAAAAATAAATTTGATTTTTAATTAATATAAAAAAATTTTACATTATTTTTTTTATTTTAGGGTTTATAATCGCTTTTATATTGGCATTTGGTATTGGAGCTAATGATGTTGCCAATTCATTTGGTACCAGTGTAGGTTCCGGTGTACTATCATTAAGGAGTGCATGCTTATTAGCAACAGTATGTGAAATTGCTGGAGCTGTTTTAATAGGTAATTTACAATTAAAAGTACATACATTCTAAATATTTTAATGTTCTTTATTTTTTTTTATATAAATACATATGTATATATATATATATATATTTTTTATTTTTAAGGTTATAAAGTATCAGATACAATGCGAAAAGGAATATTAGAAGTAACATTATATGAAGGACATGAAAATGAATTAATGTTAGGTTGTTTAGCAGCATTAGCCAGTAGCGCTGTATGGTTATTGGTTGCAACATTTTTAAAATTACCAATATCTGGTACACATAGTATTGTTGGTTCAACAATTGGATTTAGTTTAGCTGCAAGGGGTACACAAGGTTTAAAATGGTCAAAATTAGGTACCGTTGTTGGTTCATGGTTCATATCACCAGTATTGAGTGGTCTTGTCAGTGTTATATTATTTCTTGCAATCAATAAATTTATTTTAAGAGCAAAAGACCCACTTAAAAATGGATTTTTATCACTTCCTGTCTTTTATGGTGTAACAGTTTTCATCAATATAATCAGTATTGTATTGGATGGACCAAAATGTAAGTGAATTTATTAGAAAAGAAAAAGAAAAAAAAAAAAAAAAAACAGAAAATTTCTATTTTTATTATAATTTCTGTTTTTTTTTTTTCTTTTTTTATTAAAATAAAAATTTATTTTTAAATTTTTGTATAACTTTTAAATGAAACAATTATTCACTCTTCACTTTTATTCTTTTTTTACTGCTTTATATTAAAATATATAAGTTTATAAATTTTACATAATGTGTAATTAGAGTAATTGCCCATATTTATATGATACCCAAAATAAAAAATTTTTTTTAATGCAAATATAAACTTAAAATGAAAATTAGAAATTATTTTCAATTTAAAATGCATTGGTTTTTCTTTGAAATATAAAAATAATATAAGATTAACAATAGTTTTTTTTATATAAATTTCATTTTAATCTCAAAAAAAAAAAAAAAAATACATTATTCAATAATATTTTAGAATTTAAAAATTTTCATATATTATGTAACCCCTAATAAATTTTCGAATAAAATATTATTTATGAATTGAATAAATAATAAACTTCTTCGAAGAAATATAATTTTATATAAATTAAATAAAATTGCTAATTAAAAATCACACTTTTGCATAATATACGATATTATTCGTATGTAATTATAAAATGAGAACAAAAATCTCAAATTGAAATTTGATATAAAAGAATAATTTATAATTGAATAATCTATAATTGAATATTATTATAGAGATTTCCAAAGTTTGATTATATTTTTATAAAACAAAATCAAAAAAAAAAAAAAAAAAAACCACAAAAACAAATTATAAGAAATTTTTAAAATTTCTATAATATAGTACTTTATATGGATAACATTCCAACATGGATTGCTGTTGCTCTAAGTGTTGGTATCGGGATTTTTGCGGCAATCATTGTACAATTATGTATAGTACCTATGCAACGTAGAAAAATTGAAGAAAAATTAAAATTGAAAGAGCCAGTGAAATTTACAATCGAAAGCTCCAATGGTAAAAATTCATAATTTTTATTTTCTTTTTTTTTTTTTCTTTCTTATTATTATTATATATACATATAGATGTAGATATATAAGCATATATACATAAAATATACATGTATTATTCTTAGTATTTTTCAAGTTTTATTAAAAATAATATTTAAAAAAAACTAAACTAGATTACTAACTTTTTTTTTTTTAAATAACAAACCGAAAGTATTTGAAAATATCGAATTCTTAAAATTATTTATTATTTTTTTTCTCGTTTTTTCATTTTTTCATACTTTTCTCTTAATAGAATCATCACCATCCGGTAGCCCTAAGAAAGGTAAACGACCATTATCACTAGTAAGTGAAGGAAATCAATTACCTACAATTGCTGAAATTACTGAACTTTCAACATTAGGCAATTTAACACCGAAGTCATTAGGTTTCCCGCAAATTAAAGGTATTTTTTTTTTATATTAATTATCATAATTTAAAATTGTATTTGGTAAACTTATTCATTCGTAAATTAAAAACCAAATTACACTTATTAATATTAAAGCCATAATATTTTCGTTCTAATTAATTTCATCATATAATAAATAATAAATTGAAATGTAACTATATTAATAATAAGTTTTGTACTAAGCTTTTAACATAACAAATTCTTTAAAATTTTCAATTATATTATAAAAATTATTTTCATCTCTTTATTTTTTTTATTTTAAATATAGGAAACAATTATAAAGTTGATCCTGATATTATTCGTAAAGCTGAACATCTTCTTGGTAAAAATAGTTTGGATAATACAGATTTAACGATAACAAGTTTAAATTATATTGATGAACAACAACAAAATGGCAAAAATTTACAAGAATTTTTCGATAATAAAAATCAAAAATCTCCTATCAATACCAATAAGTAAGATTTATATTCACATACCTTACATATATGATATGTGAAGATTTTCGATAGTATAACTACTTAAAAAGCTCTAACTTAGTTATTGAAAAATGACTACAAATTTGCAAAAACTCAGTAGTTTACGAGTACTTTTAGAGATTTTGTAACATAATATTTTCTATATCCTTTTTCTAATTCATAATGAAAAATATTTTCAAATATTAAGGACAATAGCAATTTTGGAAATTGTAGGAAAGATTATCAAATATGGTAGCTTCACTGAAAGTACTTTATGTTAAAATCTAAATTAGAGCAAAATTATCGAAAATCTCTAATTATTTTATGTTTAACAATAAAAGTATAAAATAATTATTAATATTATATCATTTTACATTTCTATTTTCTTATTTTATTTAGCAATGAATCTCTTCCAGTTGAAAAAGATGTTGATAATAATACATTAAAGAAAGATGATCAACTTTTTGTTTATGATAATCATGGTTTAAAATGTATTGAAAGTGGTACAAATATGGATTTAATTGTAAATGTGAATATGTCACAAAATTCAAGTAGAGTTCCATTAATTGAAGGAAAAGATGTTGAAGGCGGTATAAAATCAAATATTAATGGTGAAAATGAATCAAGTGTTTCAATATTGTTTAGCTTTTTGCAAATTTTAACAGCAACATTTGGTAGTTTTGCACATGGTGGAAATGATGTTAGGTAAATTTTGAATTAATTAATCAATTAGATATTTATAGCTAGATATTTATATTTAAAGTCGTATTGTTATAAATCTTTTAATACTCTTGTTATTGTTGAATATCATATGTATACTAACATTATATAAATACCGATATATTTTTAGCAATGCTATCGGGCCATTGATTGCTTTATTTATGATTTATACTGAAGGATCTGTATTACAAAAAGCTGAAACGCCAATTTATATATTAATTTATGGAGGCATAGGAATTTCAATTGGTCTATGGTTATGGGGACGACGTGTTATAGAAACCATTGGAAATGATTTGACCAAAATTACACCGTCCACGTAAGTTATATAATTCCCGAAGAAATTAATTTAAGTTCGTTCATAATTTCAACCACCAAAATTCCATATAAATGCCATAATTTTTGTTTTAATTTTTGTTTTGTTTTTTTGTTTTTTTTTTTAGCGGTTTTACCATTGAAATTGGTGCTGCCATTACAGTACTGCTGGCCAGTAAAATTGGTTTACCTATTTCAACAACACATTGTAAAGTAGGTTCTGTTGTATTTGTTGGTCATTTTAGTTCAAAATTGAATAAGAACATAAATAGTAGTTCAGAAGAAGAAAAATCTAGTGTTGACTGGCATTTGTTCCGAAATATTGCGTATGCCTGGGTTGTAACAATTCCTGTAACAGCCTTATTAAGTGCTGGTATGATGTATTGTTTATGTCAATTGGTGCTGTAAACCATAAAACTAGAAGGATTTTTAGATAATAGTTTTAAATAATAACTAATTTAAATTAACCCTTAGGGTTTTACAATTTTTAGTACTGCAAAGAAAAGAAAAAAATAATTGTAATAAAATAAAAGGAATTTAGTTTTAAAATATGTGAAAAGTGTAATGCATGAATAAAAAACAAATTTGAAAATGTTTGGCAATAAATCATTATTAATTTAAGGTGTTATTAAAGTATACTGTTTGATTTATTTTATATTTTTGCTTCTTTATATTAATATAGTGATTTTGTTTCCCTCTGGCGATTCGTCATCTTCTAATCTCATGTCTATTAAAAAAATGTTCATTTGGGTTTGTAAAATAAATCATAAACAAAGTATTTTTTGCGATTCCAAAGCCATTTCACAAAGTAATCCGTCTCAAAATTAATTTTTTTTTAAACGAGCGACGATTTAAGCTACTTTATTTGAGATTAAGTCGTACATATTCCATGTAATTGAATTGTTCTATAAAAATTACATTTAAATTACAATGACTATAAAACTACATAATAAATTTTGAGTGATTTTTTTCTTAATAGCCAGCAAAACTGAATCGGAAATGGCCACCGCAATCTTTATATATATGTACTCGTGTATTCTGCATTTTGAAATACGAGCTACATCTCGTTTGTAACGCAATTTCCCCTATACTTGTATAATTGCATTCGTGTACGTTTTTGAATGAGTGCCCAGAATCAGGAATTATCAACAGCGGTAAAATAGCCGAAAACTCCTTTGTGTGTTTTTGATATCATTTTTTCCATGTGCCTGTGAGATTATATGAAAAATAGTGAGCAGCTGATTTTGCCGTTCCGCTGTTATTCTGGGTTCTGACAAACATGTAATTTTTATTTTGGCAACTATTTTTTTTTTACTTGTATTCGATGGGTTTTTATGCACCTTTATGATCACATGCATTTAAATTTTAAACAGTTCGTAATTTAGTAATTTCAATGAGTTTGGTAGCTTAAGTCTACGCGCAATTGATTTGCAATCAAACTGTAATTACAAAAAAAAAACGTGCATATCTGGCAGAGCCCTAACAACGAAATTTGTCCACCGTTGTGTTGTTTTTACATTTACTTGTATAATTTAGAAGTCGATTACAATTATATCGACTGGTTTTTAATGATCTGTTCCAAAAAACATTCATGCTATTATGAAAAACGACACCTTCAAACAAATGAATTTACCAGACTAGGATAGAAAATTACTTTGTAGTGTGTTTCTCTCAACTATTTTCTAAATGGATTAAATTGTTATAATGCCATCCTAAATTGATTGAATACTTCTATCCACAAGAAAAAGTAGAGACAAAGGTTTAACTTTATGGCACTTGCACACCTCTTTGGCCATTGCATCAAATACTATGACCAAATCAAACAATTTTTTCAACTGTTTTCTATTGCTAAAATATTTTAAATCGATTTCTAATCGACTTTCACAATTAAACCTTAAAATCTAATAGCATACTCGAATTGACGGATCTCGAATTCTTAATATCATGTAAACTCATGCCTTTTCTAATAAATCTAAGTATGTATGTATGTAAGCAAATATATAAAGTATAATAGAAATACTTGATAAAATCGTTTGTTTTAAATTTTCAAAGTAATTAATAAATTGTATTCGTAAAGAGATAAGGAACTAAACACCAATTTAACATTAAGATAGTCTTGTCAAAATATTGTTTTATGATTTTTTAATCACCACAATGTATGCATACCGCAATTTATGTGATATAATGTACGTATTCTTATGAGTATAAACAGCGTTTACAATTAGATACAATTTTTGCTTTGAATTTAGCTTAGATGCAAAGATACTCAAATCTGCTAAAACGGCGGAATTTGCTACATTTCAAAATTTTGCTGAAATATGGATACATTTATTTCTCAAACACTAAATAAATATTACAAAACTGTTAAAATGCTGCTAATATTAAATCGCGAAATTGCTTTATCCTTAAAAAATGTTACTTGTTGGCTTTTCTAAACAGATTTCCGAATTTACTAGAAAAAAGTAAGAAAGATGCTCTATTAAATGAGTACTGCGTCTTCCTGTATTCAAATCTAGAACATTTAGATAAGAACGTAACAGAAATACTTTGGTGTAAGCTAATTGTAATAGAAAATGCATTAGCTGTACATATTTTTTTAAAAATTTGTCAGTTTCCATTGTGAATTGTGTTTACCGCATAGTTCAACAGCTACGGAACATATACATATATATGTATGTATGTATGTATTTTCTAACCTTATTTTTTACAGTGATAAGTAATAGAAGTTGCATGTGATTTCTTAAAGAATTTACTATAAATAATAAAACTCACATTGCTGAATAAATTAATATTAGTTATGAGTTACTTTGTACAAAATAAGACGACATAGTTAGTTTCAGTATGTATAAACCGATTGAACTACACCCTGCACCTTTCATTGTTGTATAGCAATTACTCGAAACTAGAAACCATTCTATAGAAACTTCACGGATATGTCTTACCTATAATTGGACGTAAGACTGCCAAATTTAATGAATCTAACTTATTTTTCCAAGTATTTAAAGTAAGTTTGAGTTGTGTAAGAGCTACACGAACCTGTTAAGCAGTTTCACCAAAACTTCAAGAATATGTCTGACCTTCCGAAAATGTAAAATTTGCTTTTCGAGTTGTATGGCAGTCACCCGAACTGCTGCAGTCATTCCAATAAAATTTTTATAACATAATAAGTAGAATGTAGTGGGGCATAAGTATACAAAATTTTATAAATATATCTTTATTAGTTCTTCAAATATTTGAATTATTCTATTTAAGTTGCATGGCACCAGAACTCGTTCGGCCCATAACAACAGGGTCCGTCCTTGGCACAAAAGAAGCAACTTGTAAAAGTTTGATCGTAATTGCTTTATTCGTTTTTGAGTTATCATGCGATCGGACGGACATGTCTATAGCAACGCAGAATTTTACGCCGAGCAAGGATATACATACATATATACATATCCATACCGCAGACGACTCCTTTAAGTAGTTACAAACTCTATACCAAAGTTAATATACTCTTCTCTGCTACTCTTCCCTTAAAATCAATATTGGCACAGAATTATGAACCAAAACTAATAATGAACCGAATAAAATTTTGCAATAAAACAAAATTTAAAGAAATTTTATGTTTGCAGAAATATTCTAAGTTGCCTGTAGTTTCACGACACAGTCTGATGACTATTTACAATATGTTAAACTGAAATTATTTAACCGATCTAAGACTTTACGTCAAAATCTAACAATTTGCTAGAAAAATTACGAAAAACACTTTCTGTCATATTTTACTTTTCAAAAATCTGATGTGAAGAGAAAAATTTCTATTACTAATCAACCAAATAAAATCTGATGTCAAACAGACCTATGTATTTATATAACGTATGTATAATAATTCTCATTTTAATATTTGTCATTATTTTTTTTAAGCTGTTACATGTTATGCACATTTACATATGTACATACATAAAAGACGTCAAATTCAATTATGTTATGATTCAACGCTCTTTCATTATATATAACATATTAATATGTATTGTATTGTAATGACGTTTTATCTTCATTTTTGTTTAGCACAAAAAAAAGGGAATTTCCCTTATTAAATTTCGCTCAATATATTGGATATTAATTTACAGTATCTATAAATGCACACATACACAAGTATTTTATATTAAATAGAATTTGCAGTTACAGTAGAGCCCGTTCAAAAGAGACATAACAACTTTGCCACTCATTGTGTTTCTTATAACCGGAAGTTTTTTTAAAAGGAGGTAAAAAGATTATATAAAAATACAAATTAGCTACATACATAGCCATTTGTTTTTAAATAAATATTTATTTTTTATCGCATAAAGTACTTAAAATTATTTCCGATATATTTCGAAAATACTTATTAATTTAAATAATAGAATTCAAGAGCCGGACCGTGTATCTTGCTTTTTTATTCGCCAAGTTAGAAGAATTAACTATCATTATATTTCTACATATAACGTAAATTTAGAAGAATTATTCCGTATTGCGTACCTATCTCCTTTTTTTTCTATTATAGAATAGATTTTGTACACAAAATATATTCACTTTTTTTAAGGTGAGACGTTCAGTTGATAATTTGAGAAAAATGTAAAAATCAAATTGAAAAAAATTAGTAATGTTATTGGAAAAATTGAATATCCATTAGAAAACAGAATTCTGGTTTGAAAGTGAATAAAAAATGAGAAAGAAGCGATATACACGATTAGGCTGTAAATTTTTATTTTATTTTAATTCGCTTCTTATCCATACTTATACGAAGGTTAATTTTTATGCTACATACGTCAATATTTTCGTCATTTACTGCTGCTGAGTTCAAGAGTTACTCTTTTATAATATGAATATAAAATGATAAATGTACGAGTAAAAGTTTACTTAAAGCTTGAGTTTTTTTTATGAGAGTTTCATATAAGCGTATTTAACTGTAATTAATATATCTTTTAATATGTTGAATGTATTCGGGTTGCCCGTACGTTTGTATTAAAAATTTTTAAGGAAAAAAAAAGTATAAATAGAGCGTCTGTTTAGAAATTGAGGATAGTTTGGATCGACAAAGTCTTCAAATTAGTGGAAAAAAAATGAATTTAAAAATATTTTCTTTGTGCTTTTTGCTATTAAGCATTAATTTAGCAGCTGCCGGACCATTGGCAGCTGGAATTTGTTATGCTGGTTGTGGAGCAGTGGTTACTGCATGTTTCGCCGCTGCAGGTTTCACATTTGGGACCGTACCAGGTAAAATTTCAATATTCCCAAATATAGTTAACGAAATTGATACATGCATAAATATAATTAATATTAATTATACTTACATGCATACATATGTACATATGTATATAATGTGTAATGCGAATTTAGTGCAGAATGCAATATTGTACATAATATACATACATCCACATGTATGTATGTATCAATTGTATGAGTGCGTGATGTGTGCATTTAATTATTATTTACTTATTAAAATTTAAATGCAGTTAATATAAAATAACCAATAAAATATTGTAACATGTAATCAAATATATTTGTGTATATACATATGTATGTACATATAAATAATATACATTCATACTACATGTATCAATGTCTATCGAATGATTATATTACAGTTGCGTTTTTTTTTGCGTAACGGATATTAAATCATGTTGAAATTTTGTTCAAAACTAAAATACATTGGTTCAATAACAAAGAAAAATCACCAAATTAACTTATTTTACTAATTTACATATTAGCTACCTACCTAAATAATTGTCTACATGTATGTACGTACTTACATTGTACATATGTATATATGTTTCACCTAACCTACAAATTCAAAAATTTGGGTTTTTTTTTTTTATCCTAATTTAAGTCAGTTATTAATTGCATTTAGTTAAATTTAAAAATACTGCAGGGATAAGCAATTCCACAAACTAGTCCATTAGTTCAATATTCCACAAACTTGTACATATGTATGTATGTATGTATTGCCAGTTTGTAACATTTTATTTTAGGTTAGGTAAATATTTATGTCATTATTATTAAAATTAAAATTATATATTGTTCATTTTTAGGTGCCCAGATAGCTGCGGTTCCTGCATTAGCTGCGTGTAACTCCGCATTTGCAGTGTGTGAAGCGGCTTGTGTTGCTGCTCTAGTAGCACCAACTATCTAGTGGAAGTAACTTCCACTAAATATGGACGAGTACAAAGATGCCGATGTACTTATGATGTGAATTTTTTTCAATACTATTATTTTGTGTTTTTTAATATTTAAATTATGCTATAATCACGCTACTTGCAAATGTACATATATGTATGTATTATACCTATATTTTGATTATATAACTTAATATTTTTCAAAAATAAAAGTACATAATATGTACGTACCTATATACATACATACATACATAAATGCTAATAATATGGACATACATACATAGGTTGTGGGTATCTATGGATGTAAGCTTGCAAATATGTACATATCTAATCATTTTTATAAATAAAATGCAACAATTAAAATGTTACTTTTTTCAATTTAAAAAAAATGCGTTATCTAAAAGTATTTTGGTAGGTACCTGCATTACATACATTAAAATATTTTTGTAATTTACATATAAACTTATAAAAGTAACATTAATGAATTTTATGTGAAAGTGTTCCAAATTTTCAATATTTTTTTACGGCTGCATGAGAAGCTAACTGAATGAATTTGAGTAATCCGTTTAATGTTTTTCCATTTCGAGAATATTTAAATTGTGCTACATTGAAAATAAATTCATGAAGTAATTTGAAGGTACATACATATAAATTTTTAACAATATTTTGAAGGTATAAATATACCTTGTATGTGTTGATTTCAAATATACATATTTATGTTCATGAAATTTAAAACTGTAAATTTATCGTATGATGTTAAATTTTATAACATATATGTATGTGTACATACATACATACATATATAATAAACTCTGGTTTGTAAATTGTAGACAAACTGAATTATCGAAAATCCCGCCTTTCAGCATTGTAATGAGAGTTTTTTAATCAATTATCTAATTAAACATTAAATAAATACATTTAAAACCAATTAACAAACTGTTTTTACACAATGGAAGTCTGATTTTAAAATAGCGCATATATGCATACAATAACAACTTCTTGTTGTGTGAAAAAAATATAAAATTAACCAGAAATTTTGAAACATTTTTCGTAGTTCTACATACATACATATGTATAACTATTTATTATCACAATTTCTAACTTCAAATTTTAATGTGTAGCTTTATGAAATATTACATAATATATGTAAATTGTTATTTTAAGTATTTTCAGAAATTTATTTATAATTCATACAATGTAACTTTAGTATAGTTTTTATTTGCATATGTACGTATGTAGGTATGCCTACTTACAAGATAATTTTATATTAAAATAGTAAGTATATTAAGCTCATTAATAGGGGATTTTCGTTTATGCACGCTGCGTTGAAAGTTCTACATTAGAACTAAAATTTCGTAAGTTAAACAGTATGGAAAAATTTCAGCTAAGATTTTTTTGTTTATACAGTCTACAAATTCTGAAAGTTCTAAATAATCTGTCGTTCGAAAATAACATAAATGCCATTATTGATAAAATTGTATCCCAATATTTTCGCCTTCCAATTAACTGCAAAATAGAGATTTTAACAACATTTGAAGATATAAAGAAAACTTACTTTGATAACCCTTCAATATCTGAAGCTGCCATTTTGAAATTAAAAATTTTTTATAATTTAAATTAAAAAAAAAAAATTCATGAGGCAGCGACAAAATTTCTAACATTTCTTTATTGCAGAATGAATTTCCGAACCCACTTAATTGCAGCCAGTAGTTTCCGAACGATCTATATTTTTGGTGTGTGTAACGTGAATCTTCGAACGTACTACAAGCTAGAACTATTCTAGTACTGAATAAACGAAAACCTTCATGTTAAACAAATTTAATAGATAGTACATAGATATCTATAAAAACTTAGTATCAATTGCAAGAATGTTGTTTTGTAATAACCTTACATCCATGTGTACATATGTACATATGTGAACAGACACCTGTATGTCCTATAATCAATTCGTACATTAATTGAAACAGACATTTAAATTAGCACAAATAATTAAAAACTTCTTAAAAGATAATTACATAGCCACCGAAATTACGAATAGGTACGTTGACTCGAAATTATAAATATTAATTTAATATTATTCATTAATTTCCATATAATGTAGATTTTATATACATAAATACAAGTGGGTACACGATAGGTGCATGATTTTTAACTGTATATTAGAATCTTAATTTTTAAACTTTGAAAACCTGGGTGGGCAAATATTTACCAATATATGTATATCGTATTTGCAAATGTTCCGTGACAATCCCAAATGTTCCAAAATCAATTTTTCCTAATTTTTTTGGTATACTTCTTAATATTTTGAAAAGTCTCCTTGAATGTTCAAATATTACATGTGATTTTAATTCTTATTTGAAAATTTTCTTCTAACTTTATAGGTAGGTAGCATATTAATTTTGAAATGTATTTACTGTTGTTTGTTGTCTTATCTTGTACTCTCTTTACAGAGTTATTTACTTGCACAATGTTACCAATAGTATACTTTTCAATTTGGATTCAATTTACATAAGATAGTCTATATCTATAACAATTTGCTGGTCAAAACGACTATTAAGTATTAATGTAGCTATGTATGTATGTAAAAATTGTAATAGTATTTAGAGATTAATATTCCAACTATGTTAACAAAAATTAGATGCTAATCTTCGAATGTAAAAATTTATTGAAAATTTATCTCGGATTTCTGAATAATGCCTGGTTAATTGTTATTTTCATAATTTACGACCCATTGTAGGCACTTTCTTAGCAAACAATTTTTGTACTCAATTTTTCACCGTTAGTTTATTTCCGAGCACTCTAAATTTAAAAAAAATACTATAAATATTTTAATGTTTATTTAAAATTATTTTAAAAGTTTTAAATTCAGTAGACTGTATGAATGCAAAAATATTCATATTTTTGTTTTTTTTTTTTTGTTTTAGTTTTTCAAAAATAACGATGAGTAACATCGAGTTTAATTGATTGATGTACCGCATTAGACAGACCACAGTATTGCCGTATTGAAATAATGTGTCATTTTATTCAGTGTTGCTACAGATCTATATTTTGTTAAGCACACCCGGCATAATTTACTTTTTTATATCGTGCAGGTATATATTATATACTTTAACAATATTTTCGCATTTTTCCTTTTTAAAAAAGAGTTAAGTTTATGTTCTGCGTTTTTTTTTGTTTTAAAGTATACTATAGTACCACGAATATGAATAGATGTATTATTTCAAATAGTCACAATATTTGACGTCGTTTTTAATGATAATTTCTTAAGAATACTACAGCGTCTTTTTTAGCAATTAATTACTCAAAAATAAACTGTGTGCAATTGGCTAGACATGCTATATAAAAACAAATGAACATACAATTTAGATCTCGGCAAGACCAAATTTCCTTGAAAATATTTTTTTTAAATAACTACTCATGTAATTTGAAATGACATTGCTGAAAGAAATTATTTTTATATTACTTTTTGCAAAAAATTTTGTTTTCCGAAAAATTTTATTCATATAAATTGAATAATTTATAGGTTTACTTTGTTATAAAATTCAAATATGAATCATATGTTTCCCGTTCAAATTTTCGTAAATTTTATAAAATACATTGAATTGGTTATGCACATACAGCCTTGCTTATAAATATTTAATTTATTAAAAGTCCTAAATATCAGTTTAAAAAAAGTAAATAAATATAAAAAAAGTATAACCAAAATAGGCATCTTTAAAGACGGTCAACGTAAACCGCAGGTTGACGTTTTAATATGTCAAATACTAAGTTAACTTTTGGATTCGGAAACAAATATTTATGGTTGACAACTTGGTATGACAGAAAATGTTACAAACAAATTTTGACACGTTGTCCTTTTGTCAAATAATTTTTAATTGCGGGATAAACAATAACAAAAGCCGGTGAAAAGAAAATTTAAGATATGATAAATTGGAAAAACTTTGATTTATTCTTACCAATATTATATTTTTTTGGTTCATTGCCTGTATTTTTAAAAGTTTATAAAACTTCTACACAAGTTATTGATGAAGAATTTCATTTGCGCCAAGCAAAACATTACTGTGCAGGGAATTACGATGTAGTAAGTACCTACCTAGCATATAATTAAATTTTTCCACCAATTTTGGCATTAATACCAAAACCGTACACATACATATATTAATCATACTTCCATGATTTCAGTGGGATCCAAAAATTACAACCTTACCAGGGCTTTACTTGCTTACCACAATATTGCTACCATTAAAATTTTGTACGACTTTTAATTTGCGGATAGTTGTTTTACTCTTCGCATCTTTGAATTTATATTTAATAAGACAAATATTATATATTCTCAACGGGAGAAACAAAAAAGATGTTTTTGCTGCTATCAATATATCGATTCTACCTCCGCTATATTTTTTTTCTCATCTATATTACACAGGTTCGACACGATTTTTTTAAAGGAATTGAAATGAACGATTTTTATTATTTCAGATGTAGTTTCTATAACAACAGTTTTGGGGCTTTATTATTTTTGGCTTAATAAAATGCATAAATCAGCCGCTTTTTTTGGTAAATATGATAAGTATAAATATACTCCGGTTAAATTTTTAGAAATATGTGTATTGTTTGTAAATTTATTACAAACTGGCTTAACAGAGTTGAGTCTACATAAGGGAGGTTCTAAGTGATCAAAATATTTGCCCATCTAATGGTGTATTGCATTTATTTAGTTTTTGTTTTCTAATTTAAGGAAGTAAAAATTTTCTATGCTTCTCCTTTATAGTATGTACTGCGTACAGGTTCATTATCTTGGTTTAACTTTTTGTATCTTTTGGTTTAAAAATTTTATATGCATGTGTTATATTCGTTTAGGTTTTTGGGGTATCCTAATAAGGCAAACTAATGTCGTATGGATCGTTATGTTTTTGGGGATATCCTGCATAAATTGTCTTATGAAAAGCTATAAAATGCGAGCGAAACATAAACATTGTAGAGATGAAGTATGTTTAATAAATAATTTAATAATTTTAAAGTTTTTTGCTTTGGATTAATTTTAACATATTTTAATTTCTTTTTAGATATTTTATGAAGCAATGAAATGGCATTTGATGAACTTGAATGAACTTGTAGCTTTTGTTTATTCTGTAATTAAAACTTTTTGGTCTTACATTCTTGTTTTATTATTATTTGTAATATTTGTAATATTCAATGGATCTATCGTTGTTGGAGATAAAACAGCTCATGTTGCCACTATACATTTACCCCAGGTATTACTCACTGTATATTCATCATAAAAAGGAAATTTTAATTTAATTTACCTTTTTCTTTTCTTAGATATTTTATTTCAGTTTGTTTAGCACGATATTTGGATTTTCAGTTCTATTGCCTAAACTTCTATCATCCTTGAAGTTAATTTATAAAAACAAATTTTTTTTTATAATGTTATCTTGTTTATTTTTTGTAATTATTAAATATAATACGTTGGAACATTCTTATTTATTAGCAGATAATCGACATTATACGTTCTATATTTGGAATAGATTCTATTCAAAATATGATTTTTTTAGATATTTGATGATTCCAATTTATATTGTAGGATTAGTATTGGTTTACGAATCAATTAAGCACAGAGGTCTTAACTTTATTATAATGTTTAGTTTTGTAACAATTCTCGTTTTAATTTTACAAAATTTACTAGAAGTACGATATTTTTTAATACCATTTTTAATATTTAGATTAAATGTTAATATTAATAATAATTTTGTATTAATTTTAGAGTCTTTCCATTATTTAATATTAAATATATTTACTTTTTATATATTTTTCACAAAAGAAATTTATTGGAATGATTTTAATGATGTCCAAAGACTTATTTGGTAATAAATTTATTTTTAATAAAAATGTAAAAAAAAGTATTTGATTTTTAAAGATATAATATATGAATTTTACGGGGATAATAAATAATGTTCAATTATGTGCTATATCGAAATCTCATTAATTGAATAAACAAAGTTTTATTTTCAAAGTGAATTTTTATTTAAATTTATTTAAAAATCTTTTTTTTTTTTTTGCATAAATCAGGGTAAATGAAAATAACATAAATCTTATAAAGGAATGTAAATCAACTAATTAGATGATTTTCATTTTTTTCTTTTTAATAAATATTTAAAAATTTATATATTTAATTTTCATTGTAAAATTGGTGCAGAACGATCATTAGTTTTGGTATGACGTAATTTGACTGTTGCAAATTGTGATGGTCTATGAATAAAGAAAAGTTTTTTTTTGTTAATAAATTTTAATACTGAAATTTTTAATGTGATGAATAAATTTTAAATAATATTTTAATTATATTTTAAATTTTCGTTGGTCATCTTTGTGAAACAAAGTTTTATATGTGTAAATATATATGTATATATGCATTTATAAAGCTTCTTTATATGTTTATTTCAAAAGCAGAATAATTGTAAGTTGTCCTCTTACATTGCGAATTTTAAAAATGTTTCGTATAAAAAATATTGAAACATATGAATGAAAAGCATTGACAGCTTCAATTAAAATAAAATAAAATTAATGTTCTATATTATGTATATTAATAGAAATCTTTAAATTATACTAATAAAACTAATATTAATAGTAAATTTTGAAAACTCGGAATATGATCGATAAATTCGATTTATTTTTTAAAAGCGAAAAATTTAGTTACATAGTTATTTGATTTTTATATTACAAAATTATTTTATAATAAAATTCGCCGAGTTGAAATAGAATCGAATGAATGCTTTTTATAAATGCATAAAAATAATGTAGGTATTTAATTTTAATAGTGAAAAATTTAAATAATATAAATATTTATTTTTAATTTAAACATATTTGCATATATACATACGTTAATGATTTGATACAGAATTATAATATTTAAAAAAAAATATTTTTAGATGAATAAAATTTTCTAGCTTTTACTCTCAATCTTTATAAAAGCGACAAAAATAACAAAAAATAAAATATAAATGGTATAAAAAAAAACAATACAAACAACCTTTTTTTTTTTGTAATTTTTGCAACAAAAAATATATATTATATTTTTATATATTTATATAAATATAAATTTATAATAACGCTATATCGATTTATGTATATAATATTTCAATAATTATAATAAAATAAAATGGCGACAAACAAAACAATGTTATAGAATAAAAATAAAATATAATTTATATAATAGATTATATAGTAGAATTAAAAAAAAATATATATATATATATATTAAAAACAATAAAATATATACTATTTAAAATTAAATAATGAAGTATAATTTATAAATATAATTACAATCCCCACACCGTATTTGCAAAAAAAAAAAAAAAATAAAATTTTTTTCTTTTTAAATTATCTAACACACTTATTATCTAACAAACTTTATTTAAAATTGTTTAATTTTAGCGAATAGCATCGGTGCTGGAGCGAAAATATGAAGTTAATTCAAGATTACCGAATTATCAAACTTTGAATGCAATGATTTTATAGTCTTAAGAAAATATTATTTGTTATGAGCGAAAGGATTAAGAGAAATTTTTCTGGTTTTGATGAAAAATTTAATTTAAATTATTAAATGAATAATTAATTTGATTAATTAAAAGTAATAAATATTGGACAATTTGATAAAAATTTAAAAATAAATTAATAAATTTTTAACATATTATTTATTTGTAGGTAACTTTCATTTAGTTATATAGAGGGTGATTTAGTAAAGAGCACAATATTATAATAATATCGTTGAAAGCATCAAAAAATTGCTGAGGTGTTGAATGAATTTTCAATAAATATCTACTTGCCTCAAGCTTTTCTTGTTTAGAACTTCCCTTCCGAAAAAGATGGAAGGTTTACACAAACATTTTTTAAAAGAGCTATTAAGGGAATTAAAAGCAACATGACTACATGTTTATGTTAAACAGTTTATGCTTTTCTTTAAAGAAATCGAATTGCGTTTATGTGTTAGATAATTTAAAAATTTATTTGGGTATTTAATTTAAAAATTTAATACATACATCTATATATATAACATTTATATATAAAATTATGTATTAATATTTTAATTATACATTTGTAATTTATTTGTTTTTTCTTTTCAATATATTAATAACAATTGACTTAATTTATTGTAAATATTTCAATTTATAAATGTACATAATTAAATGTATAATAATTTATAAAAAATTTTTACAATATTTTATCTTTTTAAAATTTATAACTTTTCGAAAAATCTTGTAAAAAAAATTTTCGAAAATTAATCAAGTATTGGCACTTATAATAAATTTTTTATTTAAAGTAACAATTAATTTTTTTTTTCTTCATGTATTATATTAGATTATTATAAATGTAATTTTTATAAAAATAAAAGAAATTTATCATGTAGTTTAATATGTTTACAAATTTATTTTAAATTTATAATTAAAATTATTTTTTTTTTTTTGTTTTTGCACTAACTAGTTGATTTATTCAGTTTGAATATTCAAAAAATTAAAAAAAAATAAGTATTTTTCAATAAATATTAAAATACCATAAATTCAAGTTTCAAAAATATGGTATTTATGGTATTTTAATATTCTAATTAAATAAAATTTAATATAAAAATTTTGTTTTTAAACTAAGGCCGTCTTAATCAGTAAGTTGTTTTTTTTTTTGCATTTTTTTGACATCAAAAATCAAGTGATTTTTAAATTAAAATATGCTATTTTTAAAATGTAATTCAAAAATACTTGATTGCAGATGATTGTGTTATTTACAAAATTCAGCGAATGACATGATTGATGTGATTGTCAAATCTTTGACTTATTATGGGAAACGGCATAATTTTTATAAAAATTTATTTTGTATCTGAAAACAATAGTAATAACAGCAATATTATTTTGTTAAAATACCCAATTCAAAATACTCCTAAAGAAAGAAATAATATATTGATATATTATATAAAAAAAAAAAGAAGAATAATTTTAAATATAAAAATACTTATGTAATGTTAAAATTCAATTAACAAAATAAATTTTTACAATTAAAATATAAAAGAATAATTTTTATGGAAATTAAATTGCTCCTTTAGAAAATTATTATTAATTTATAAAAAATAAAATAATTTTTCATTCTTTCTTACATAAATCGATAATTTTTTTTTTTTGTTTAGTAAAATCTCTATGCTTAAATAAATTTGAATAAATCAATAAATTGGGAATTTTTAAATAAAATATCAATTATTGTTGAATAATTTTTAAATGATTTTTTTTTCTGTTATTTTAATAATTATTTAGAAATATAAGTAATTAGGTCTGTCCAAGATAAAATTCTCCTCTAAATTTTTTATATGATATATGAACAACTCACATATTTCTCTCAATTTTATGCTGTCACATGTTTCTATCTTGAACAGGTTGAACAGAACTAAAATATTACGATTATTCGAATTAAATTTTTGAGAAATTTTTTAATTTTAAATTTTACATTAAAGTATTCAAAATATTTTTTTTTTTTTTAATAATATTTTCTAATTTTAATTAATTTCGGATATATATTTTAAAGTTTTACAACAATACGTACAATTATTTTCGTTTTTTTTTTGTTTTTTGCTTTCAATTCTATATACAATTACAATTTTTTTCACAATAATTTTCTATATTATTAAAAAAGATAAAAAAAACAATTCAAAAATAAAAAATTAAATATAATGACTTTAATATAATTATAATATGTTTAACATAATTTTTTCTTTTATTTTTATCTTTAATATTTTTTATAAGATTTCATTTTGTATTTTCATTTTTAATTGGTGTGTTTGAATATTATGCATAAATATTGTTATAAATAAAATATTTATATATGTTTGTTAACTATTTGAAAAATTTTTAAATTAATTTAAATAATTAAGATTCAAAAGTGTATTTAAGAAAAAAAGAATGCCTTGTTCAATTATAATTATATCGAAATTTGATAAAAATTGAAATTTACTTCAATAAATCATGTATGTACCTATCTGTATCCTATATTTAAGTGTTAAGTTGTTTAAAGTAAAAATCGAGCTAGCATTTATAGATTTAGCATTTAAGATGTTTTGGTTTGTAACATATGTACATTATTTATTAATTTTCTGAATTTATATTTAATAAAAGTTTATTCGAATTTTTTATATATTCTAGAGTACTTTTATAAAACGAGACAAAATAATTATTTTCGATTCTACTATTCTTGTTCAAAAACCGGCCTAAATTTAATTTAGTAATACACACTTTATTTTGTATAATAAATTTAAGATTACGTCTGTTTTCATCCATATTTTATGAAAATTTCATTAATTTACAATCATGTGTTCAAAAATTCATTTTAAATTTAACATCTTTGTCTAATTTTAAAACGAAAAATTTTATTAATGTATTCTAATTTTGTTTTGTTTTTATACGTAAAAATAGAAGTAGTATGATTTTTTTTGTAAAAAGATTTAAGACGAAATCTTAAATTCAAAATTTTAAATTGCAAATGTAAACATTATTTTTATAATTCTAGTTTATATTCATCCTAAATTTATGCAATTTAACAATTAAAAAAAAAAAATATGTATATTGACCTCTTTTATATAAGGATAAGGATTCTTTTATTTTAATAGGAACCTTATCAAACCATTTTACAACAATATACATAAAATATTATTATTTATATATGGGATATAAACATGTTAGTATGTATATGCATATTTATACAAATATATAATTCACACTCATATACTTTTGTATTTAATTTTTATAACAAATTTTTTTACATTATTTAATTAATGTACATAATTTTAATTATAAATTTAAAATAAAAAATTGTAAATTACATAATAATTGTTTTGTTTTTTTTTTCTTTTTTTTTATATAATAATTTAACTTTTTGCTGCATGATGTGATTTATCATCCCATAAATCATACCATGGACCATAACTTTTTGAATATGAATCATCTGAATATTCTTGATTATGATGTTGTTGTAAGTGTTGTTGCTGTTGTTGTGGATGATAATTTTTATTAATAAAACCATTATTTTTATGATTATTATCATTTATCATCATTTTATTATTATCTTGTAATAATAATGATGATGATGTTGTTGTTGTTGTTGTTGTTGATTGATTCATTGTTCTATTTAAATGATTTTCTTTACTTGATGTTTTATTTAATTTTGTACGTGGTAATAATGTACCAGATGGTGAATTATTATTAATATTTTTATTATTATTATGATTATTATTACTAGTATTATTATTATTATTACTATTTTTATTATTATTAATATTATTATGTTCATTATGATCATTACGTTTATTTTTATTTCTTTTTTGGTGTTGTTGTTGTTGATGTTGTTGTTGTTGCTGCTGTTTTTGATTTTGATTTTGATAATTTTCACCTTTAAATGTTTTAAATTCCATTTTTGTTTTAACTAAATGATCATCAATAACAATACAATCATATGGATCTGATATTGTTGTATCATTATCATGTTCTGTATCAGTACGATCATCATCTGTATCATCTCTATCATTATCAACATCATTATCATCATCGTCATCATCATCATCAGGATCATTAATTAAATTATTATTATTATTATTTATATTATTTTCATTTATATTATTATGATTTGTTGTATGATTATTAATGTGATGATGCTGATGATGATTATTATGATTATTGTTGTTATTATTATTATTTAATTCTATATCATCTTCATCATCAGAATTATAATATTGTTTTAATATTTCACGACGTTTAAATGGTTTTTTAATTAAACCAATATTTGAATCATCATCAAAATTATGTTTATTATGATGATTACTATTAATTTCGGACATTTTAATAGTACTATTATCGCTATCATCACTATCAAAATTATTATTATTATTATGTGAATGATGATGATTATGATGATTATGATTATTATTATCAAAATTCATAGATGATACAGTTTTTGAATCATTTTTATTATTACGTTTTTTATTATTATTTTTATTATTATTATTATCTTGTTGATTTTTATTACGTTGCTTTTGTTGTCCTGATATTTGTTTTAAATGCCTATATTGTTGTTTTGGACTATTACTATAACCATTATTTAAATTTTTATTATTATGTATTATATTATCATTTTCGTATTCACTATCATTATTATTTTTCATTATTATATCATTATTATTTTGATTTGAATTATTATCTTTTTGATTCATCATTATATCTTCATGACGCCATGATGATAAATTATTTATTTGATTTTCATCATATTTTTTACTTTTCCAAAATGATTTTGTTCTCTTTATAAAATTATCCTTTCGTGTTAATGTATTTAAATCGATATCGGCTAAATTATTATTAGTAATATTATTGTTATTATTAATATGATAATTATTATTATTATTATTGCTATGATGTTGTGGTGATGAATTTCGTGTTGATGAATTACCATCATCATATAATAATATTGATGATAAAGGTCTTTTTATAGTATTATCATTATCATTATTTTGATGTTGTCTTTTATATTTATATTTATGTATAATATATATATTTTATTTATTTACAGAAAATAAAATAATAGTTTTAAAGTTTTTCAATTAAAAATGAAATATAATGATGATATTATAATGTTTTAGCGATATCATTTAAATTTATATGTACAGGGTCACAAGAATGGGAACAAATATAGAAAAAAAAAAATAAAATAATTAAAGATAATTAAATAAAATAAAAAGACAATCAAAATGAATAATTTGAATATTAATTTAAGGAAAATATATGTAATATGTTAAAAATATTTAAAATTATTTTAATCACAACTGATAAATATGCGTAAATGTGTTTTTTGTTATTTATACCTTAATGGTACTCTTGTGGGAACAACTTCTTCTTCATCAGAATAATCAACTTCTGGTTGTGGTGGTGGTTTTTCCATCTCTGAATTATTGTGCCCAATTGGAAAAGGCTAAAATACAGAATATTAAAAATAAAATTTAATTTCATACACCCTTATACATATTGTGTTCATAAAACTATTATGGTATAAATATTATGTATCAAATTTTATGTTACAATGTTCTTTGACTTAAAAATTCAGTTAATATTACTGAATACGTGTCGTAATAATTTATTATGACACATATTGAAAAATAAACAACTTGTAAGTTAAATTTTGCCTAAATATACATCATTGTCACAATTTTGAAGTCATAAGATTATAAATTTAAACGTAATATAAAATCAAAAGAATTAATTACTTTATTTGCTTTATATATAATTGGTCGTTTCTTTTCACCAATATTATGCGATTCTTTAGGGAAATTAAAACTTTGTGATGTATTTAAATGATTTGCATTTGATATAGATGATGAACCGGAACCCGATGGTATTGGTGGTGGTAATGCTGGTGGTGGACTTGTTCTTAAATCAGCTGCCGAAATTTTTTGAAACTAAAATGATAAACATTAATTATATTGCATTTTGTATAAATAATTAATGTATATTATATTTCTATTATTATATACATATAATATACATATACATACATATCTAGTATTACGAAATTGTATTGTATCACCGAACATTCTTGTTGGTGATGGTTCAGCAATCATTTCTGATGTTGATTTTGAATTTTGTATACCACGTTTTAATGTTGACATTGGTGTTTGATCATGATTATATTGATTATGATTATTTATATTATTACTATTATTATTATTTACAATATTATGATGTTGTTGATTTTGTTTTTGATATTGATTATGTTGTTGTATATGTTGATGATAATGATGATTATTATTATCTTTTTCCAAATATGTAACTGGAAACCATCCCATTTGTTTTGTTCTTAAATTTTCACCAAATTGCCAACCATTGACACGACCACCAATTAATGCAATACGATCACCTTCTTCAAAATTTAATTGATTTTTACCATTTGCTTCATATGTATAAACAGCTTTCATAATTAATAATTCTTCAACAAGTTCTTCAGAATGTGGTGAAGAGAATCTATGATCTTTTTTAATATAACAAAAAATAAAAACAAAAAATGTTCATTAGGGATAAGTAATAAATTAATATACACATAATATGCAAGGACAAATATACAGTAAAATCTATATCTCTATATAACGAGCTCTACATAAAATCATAATCAACATCTAAATGATGGCATACAATTTTGTTCAACAGTTGCATTTAATTTTTCTTTTTCTCTTTTAATTAAAGAATTTCTTTTAATTAAGAAATTCCTGATATAACAGGACAAAAATTAATAGTATTTCGAATGTTCATTATAAAGAGACTTCACTGTATACTTACGTGCCATTAATAAAAATATGAAATTTATTTTATAACCTATATAGCGAGTATATATCACTTGTTTTCTTAATTCAACATTCTAAACTTTTACAACAATTCTGAATTTTCGTAAGAACTGTGTTTTTACTAAGTAAAAATGTGTTCAGTTGAACCGAAAAGCAAGTTTTATGATGCAAATTTTAAAAGTATAAAAAACAGTAGCGGTTTTTACGGGATATTTTTCGATGGACGCGATCATATATGCAGATTGGCATTTCCTTTTAGTGCTCTTCATATCGTAGTTGTCGAGAGTTTGATAAACAAAGAATGCTTTGTCATTATAGTTTCGTGAATTTTCCGCTTTGAAGAGAGCCAGGTGTTTTTTTATTGGTTGAAGCAAGTATATTTGAACTTGAAATTATTTCTAACATTATTTAAAGAATCAGGGATGTAGACCAGGCTTTAAAAGAACGTACAATTACAGTCGGTTTTCAGGCGCGCGAGTGTTGACAAAACGGAATACTTGTGCTAATTGAAGTTTTGTCCGGTTTGAAATACGCTGTGGCCACCTTGCCCATCCAACTATAACTGGAGTAATTCACGGACAGAGTGTGAAAAATCAAATATATACCAAAACAGGTATAATATTTATTTAAATTTTTTTTTTGATTAAGGGTTTTATTGTCGGATATATTATAAAAATTTCTGCTATATAGCTTCCGTAACTTCAAAATTGCTGTAAAACTGCTCATGAAGTCAGGGATTATAATTAAATAAAAGAAAATATTTTTATTATTAATTTACGATTAACAGATGATGATGTTAAATTATGTTCTGATTTTGTCCTTGGCAAGGAATTTTGATTAAAGCTACGATCATCTCTTTTATTATCTGGACCACCAGCAACCTCCATACTTCTTGTTTTACGTAGTAACAATGAATTTGATTCCAAATCACTTTTATTGCCATCCTTTATAAAAAAAAAATTGTTAAATAATATAGAGTGAGATTATAAAGAAATATAAAATTAAAAATAATTAAATATATATACAAGGTGTATCCTATATAAAATTTTCATATTTCACTATAGTTTTCAAATGACTTTATTAAGCAATCAATAACTGTTATTTTTTATAATTAATTTACATAATTTCTGAAATTCTAAAAATATCTTATATATAGGTATACCATTGTATATAGTTTGTGTGTTATTCATATAAATCTGATTATGAAATACTTTATTTTTAGAAAATAATTCATGTAAATTCAAGTCAATATTTTCACGTGTTGCCGCAATTTGTTGCCAATCGTCTATATTATTATCAAATAATGTTTTTCCAGAATTGTGATATGACATCCAATGTTTTGCAATTGAACATTGTCGTTCAAGAACAAAACCATAACGTCTTCTTTCTTGTGTTAATGCCTGCGTATATATATTAAAATAAATTTTTATAATATTATATAAGCAATAATTTATTATGATAAATTTTGTAAGAATCTATAAATTTTTCGTTTTTATTTAAATAGTAATTTACTCTAACTTCAAAATGCTGGTGTAACGGTATTACGTCACAATTAAGATTGTGAATTATAATTGATGATTTTTGAATATAGTAATACAGTTTTATTATAGTTTTGAAGTCATGGATATTAAGAAATATTGATAATTTTTATTACAATTATCTGTTAACTTGCGTCAGTAAGTCAAACCTTATGAATAAATTAAATCTTTGAAGTCAATCTTCATAACCAGTCTGAAATTTTGATCAATGATTATAAGTAGTTTTTAATAAGTTTAATGTCAAATATGTGTAGAAAATTTTACATTAAATAATGCAATTATTCTGGTTACACTTACGATTTATCTTAATTATGGTTATTGTAATGTTATTGTTCTAAAAAGTATTTTACATCACTTACAATACATTAACTGTGTATGGATTAATCACTTGTCTATGTTATGTTTTCTCTCAATGTACATATTATATTATGTGAAGACAAAAATAAATTTAAAATTACAGTAATCACTCGCATAAAATCACATCGATATAGAAAAATTCAATATACATATATAAGTATTTAAAATTTCTAGTACCGCATTTTTTCATATTAAGTCATTTAAACTTCACTAAATGTCATTTGTAAATAGTCTAAAATTAAAGAAAATTAGATTAGAAATTTCACTTTAAGTCTTACATTTTTTGCTTAAAGTCGCAAATTTTCGATCCCAAAAAGGGTTTTAATAGATGGATTACATATGTAAAAGCTTTTCTTATTTTGACAATATTTTTTTAAAAGGGGCAAATTGAATCACATAAAATTATTTTGGAAAGTAAATATTTCAGATACAATTTTAGACAGATGAACCGGCTAAAAACATATTGTTATTGGATATTCTTCAATCTTCATTCGCTTATATTAAAATATTGAAAGTCTCTTGTTTAACAAACAATCCAAGTCAGTCAGTCATAAAAATTACCTTAAGGTATGATTTTTTAATAATAATTATGCATTCATTTCAATTAAATTTTACTTACATTTTTTAGACTTTGATTACAATATGTTTTCAATTTATTTTTTTGCTCTTCAACAGCTTGCAGACTCTATAATGTAGAGAGAAAAAACAGAAAGTTTTTGTTTTTTTTTTATTTCAACCCCAATCAGAATTTGAAAAAGAAATTGTTTTTTTTTTTTTTTTATACCTTTAATTCTTTACTTGTTGTCCCCGATGCATTCTTTTTCTTTCTTTGCTTTTTTAATGTTGTAACAGCTTTACAATAGCTTTCAACATTTGCTTTATGCTGTTGTAAAAATTTTTTTTGTTCAACTTGAACAACTTTTGTATCTTTTTCTAAATTGTTTTCTAATGGCATTAATAAATCTACATAAAATGCTTTAAGCTACATAAAATGAAAAAAATGAAAAACAAAAAAAGGAAATTTAAATTAAAATGAAATTCAAAATTAATGAATTTTTGTTGATAATTATTTAGAAAAAGAAAAAAAAACACACTATTAATTATTGAATCTAATTTGATCTTTTAACAAATGTGTGCAGTGTTCATTCATTTCAAAAGAAATGGAACAGTATATTAGTATCATTGCCGATTTCATTTAAATTTAATTTATTTATCAAATCAATTACAGTCCAAACCAAATATTTATATAATGTGTGTAATGTAAAAGCCTCGCCACTGACTGTTAAAATGCTGCTATAACTAATAATGCGGCTACAGCAAGGAAAAATTGTAAAAATGATCATAATGTTGTCAGTGTATTAATTTTCAAAATATAAAAAATTTTTAATAAATTTGATAACATTTTTATATTTGTAGTAAAATTAATGAGCATTTTTAAATATAATTATTAAAATTTGTTCTTATTTCCAATCATAATTTGTTTCTTTTATTATCTGGAAGGATAATAGAGATAGGGCTGTGGTGTTCGAAGTAGATTTTGTATAAATATTTAAATTCCATATATAGCGATAATTCTTTTAGATTCTAAATTAGATTAAATTTAAAAAAAGTTTCAGTCAATTTTATATAATAGTTCTTATAATACTAGTATAAACCAGAAGATTTTCGATAATTCAATTCTAAATTAGACCCCAATATAAAGCACTTTCGAAAAATCCAAACTGCAAAATTTGTAAATGACAGTTATGATTAAAGTTCTAAAGGAATTTTTGAGTTTTTTTTACAAGTACTGCAAAAATATTATAAATTGGATGAAGAGCACAATAGAAAAATCGAGTATGTTACAAATTAAAAAGGAAAAATATTTAATTTGTGCAGATTTGTAAGTATATGTGTGAAAAGAGTTTTAAGATTTAAATTAGAACTTTCAGCGCATGTTTGAATTATCAGAAATCCCTGACCCAGGTATGGAAAATCTCATAAAATAATTCTTGAAACAGCTTCATTTTCTTCTTACACATGTTCATTTTAAATATCATATGATTCTCAAACTTGATTTGAATTTATTCAACACTGGAACGAATTAATTAATTCATAATAATTTATTGAATAATTTTAATTTATTTTATATTTTAAATTCCATTCTGCATATACCGATGGGTACACTTTATAGAACTATTATATTTTAAAAATAACACTTACATACACATCATAAGATATAAGTAATGAAAATATACTTACAATGTTAATATGTTGCTCTTGAATAGCTTTGTGAACATTTACAACATTAATTAGGGCATCACCTAAGAAAATTAAGTAAAAAGATGAAAAAAAAAAGAAAAAAACAAAAATTATTGAAAAAGAAAATTTTTTTACTTTTGGTGCAGGAAATGACAATTTTTTTTATCATTTCTGTTAATTATTCTTGTTTTTTTTTTTTTTTATAAATTTTTTAAATTTCTTTATAAAACTTTCTTTTATTAGCATATAGGCAAAAGTGGAAATTTTAATTAGTTTCGATTTTCTTTTTGTTTTGTTTTTTTATTTCTGATTTGTGTTTTTTTAATTTCAATTAAGATTGTATTGGAAAAAAAATACTCGCAAAAATTCACTCAATTTTTTAGAATTTAAGTGAAAACGAATTTCGCGCTCAGAAGCAAAAAAATTTGCAAATCGAATGAATCAATGAGGTGAATGAGGTGAAAAAAGAAAAACGTATTCAATAGAAGTTTTTTTAATTTTTTTTGCTATTTTGCGCAAATATAATTTATTGGAAACCATTTCCCCATCGTTTTTAAAATATAGGATTTATTGACGAAACAGAATACTGAAAACATCATTAGAGTGCCCAAAAGCAGGCAATTTTTTAATTTAAATTATTACATAAGATAAATGAATTTTATTCGTTTTAATTTTAAGAATGTAAAGACGCTGTTGGCAAGAAATAAAATTTTTAAAGAAGCAACTACAGCAAACAAAAATTAACCTCTGCTATAAGATGCTTACTTTTTTGCTACTCACCAATATTTTTATTTTTTTATAACTTATGACTACATAAGTATGTGAAACATATAAGATTGCAGTCAGAAATTATGGCAAAATACTAATTTAACAGATTGAAAATTTAGTCTCTTATGAGGCAAATAAAAATTAACACTAATTTATTCTAATTCAGTTTAAATTTTTTGTAATAATTTGCATTTTGTCTGCAGTTTATAAACAAAACTTTATAAATTTGCATTTATTAATTCAACAATTCTGTTGTTCATTTGGATTTAGATCTGCCAAATAATAGATCTGTGTGTATTTTTTATTTCAATTCAAAGAGAATTCAAAACTAAAAATTCGTGTACTTTTTTAACGATCAGAACAGGATCAAATGGGAGGCTCAGTGCATCAGTTGTCTATTCAATATTTTTTCCAAAAAATGAGTTATTATTTTCAATAGAGTTATATATTTTGAAAATACTTAGTGTACTCTTCTTTTCACTCTATTTTGTTTGCTTTTGCCTGTTAAAAATTGTTTTAAAAATTAAATTTTTAACATTCCAATCGTAATTTACTCGAAATTTCATTTTTGCAAATAGGCCACTAATGCGCTGAGCGCCTCAAATTTTATTATACGTCATCGAAAATAATTTCAGATTTCAAAGAAATTCAGATATCAAATTTAAAAGAATAATTCAGATTTCAAATTTAAAAAATTAATTGTTTGCAGAATAGACCTATTATGTTTAAAAACTTATTAATTAACCGAATTCGCTGTATTATATTCCTTTTTTTAAATCAATGCTATACGAGATAACAAAATTTTTGTTATTTGATTATAGAGTGTGCTCTGAAACCTCCGAATATGACTAGATTCTGTTTCTTACTTGAAAACCGACAACACTCCATTAAATTTTATATAACATTGTAGCAAAAAGTATTTAACTAATATATAATTCTTATATAAGTACTAGTTCAAATAAATTAAAGTTTTTCTTTTAAATCGAAATTACCAATATCAGATGAGGTTCCATGTTGAGCGTTAACAGCTATTTTATTTAATGTTTCTATGAACACATTTGAGGCTGAGGCAGATCCTACATTAAAAATAATAAAATGAAATATTTTACTCTTAATTAATTTTAATTTATTTTGACTAATTTACCCTGAAGAGCTTTTAAATAAGCTTTTCCAGCTGTAATTAATTGTCTTGCACATGGATTGAATTTTTCAATTATGCTCTGAAAAAATATAAAAAGAAAATGACATTTAATAATAAAAAATTATAATTTGAAATTTTTTGTTTAGAAAATTTTAAAAATTTTCAATAAATTATTTAGCTGAATTCTTATTTTTACAAAAATTTTCAAAATTTTCAATTCTTATTCTTACAAAAATTAAAAAATGCCTTTAATTTGTCAATAAATGATGAAAAATACATAAAATTGGAACAATAATAATAACAAATTAATTGGTGCTGTAGTTAAATTTAACCTTATGTTAATAATAATGGTAGTACATAGTATGTAACACATAAGCTTAAGTAGGATTATTAATTTATAGCTACTTTTATAGTAATTAATTAACGATTAACTTGTCACTTGTTGTTGTTCATATCTTGATTTCGAAATATCATTTAAATAATTAAATTAAAATGCAATTATTTTATGCGACATTACTTTTTAACCCTTTAGTGCATCATTTTTTAATTTCAAACGAAATTAAATGTGTTTTTTTTTGGATTACATATTTGTAAGAATTGCTAGTGATAATTTCATTAGATGCTCCAAAAATCAAATAAGAAAACATCGGAAATATACTGAATGAGATTTTGATGAAAGCATCAATTTTTCACAGTAGAATTTTCAATTTCTTTACTGTGACATTTTTCTTTTAATTCGTTAAATATCAAATTTTTAAATTTATTTTAATCTTTAAATTTATTTTAATGTTAAACATTTTTATTTGAAATATACGCAGTTTCCTAGTGTACCAAATGAGTGTAAATGACGTTAGCCATGAATTAAAACGCGACATAACGTATGCGTCATGAATTACCATATACGTTGCCAACGCAATACGCAATTGATTAAGTTTAGTGCATAAGTATTTTTTATATGTGATAAAATGGATGGTGAAGAAAACATTTCGATTTTAAAAATTTAAATTTTCCATTTATAATTAAAAAATAATTTTTAAAATGTTAACTCAAGCGAATGACGTGATTCACATGATCGTCAAATTTTTGTCATACTAGGAAACGCCCAAAATTTTAAGTATTTTTGAATTTTAAAAATTGATTCCTCTATGAACGGAAACTTGCGTAGTAATGTTTTCTTACTAGCTTTAAAATTTCAGCTTTTATAGTCAAAATATTTAAATTTTGCTTTGCTGGCACTGCTGCATCAAAACTTTATTTTTGCATATTTATGTATTCCAAATGTTTGGGTTTATTATTCTTGAAACAATATTTTGATTTTTCTACTCAATTCTTTACTTCTCATAAATAGATTATCGAATAAGTAACATTTATCATTGCACCAGAAGACATAAGCGTTAACACTATAAAAAACTGTACAAACTAGGTACACTGGTCGGACCCAATACATCCGTGAGGGTCGAGGTGCATTGTCATCTCGACTTGCAATCGCATTTAAGGGTTAAAGATTTATTAAATAAAATAATTTTGACTATTATTTGAATTTTTAAATCTTTATTTTAATCATATTAAATTGTTGCATTGTCCATCAGAAAAAAATTTAAAAAATTTAAGATTAAATTTTTTTTTTAATTTTGTGTTTATGTCTACGAAAACTTACAAATTTTTGTTTTTTAAATCGAACCGCAGAACCAAAAAAATAAATATGATAATCGTATATTCTAAAATTTGATTAATTTACGCGATTGCATGTCTACTAAGAATTACACCTGTACTTATATACGTTAGAACACCATGTAATTCTTATATTGTGTGTTTGAATTGAAATTGTAACGCTTTAAATACTATAGACGTACATACTCTATATTTATATCGTATATCAATAAAATGCCGTGAGTTCTAAAATTCTTATATTTTATAGAATGCTGACTAATGATTATTTTGTATTTTTTTGCTATTTCTTTTAAAGTGTTAATAAAATTGCATGTTTCAGAAGAATGTTGTTCCATTGCTTTTTTTTCTTTTCTTTTTAAATTATTATTGCGGTTATTTGGTTCTCATTTTTCTTCTTCTTTGACTTTATTTTGTTCCATTTTTATATCTGTATACGAACGTATATTCAAAGGGTATACTAAATTTGCCTTACCGTTTGTAACGCTAAGAAATAACGGTCTTAGATATAGACTCAGGTGTATGTTTTTGATCAACGTCAAATTCTGAGTTGATTTAGCTTTGTCTGTCCGTCCGTCCATCCGTCCCAACGATTACTCAAAAACTAATTGAGCTAAGTTCACCAAATTTTCACAAATAATTTATTGTAATAAGTGCCAGAACCCTATTTAAATTGAGCATGATCGGGGTACCGCTTTGGGTAGCTGCCATACAACTACAAAGTTTATTTGGCTATATCTCAGAAACTATAAAAGCTATGGTATTGAAATTTCACACAAGCGAATATATTAGTAGGGCCAATGTGTTTTATAAAAGTTGTTGAAATCGCTTGACTCCCTCGGGTAGCTGTCGTAGAACTTCAAAAGTTATTTGGCTATACCTCAGAAACTATAAAAGCTGTGGTATGGAAATTTCACACAAGCAAATATGTTAGTAGGACCGATGTGCTTGATAAAATTCATTAAAATTTCTTGACTGTTTCTGTTAGCTGCCATAGTAGTTTGGTAAAACACATTGTACTGAAATTTTGCATAAATTAATATGGTAATACGGCAACTTAAAGTCATAGTCTATCCCATAGTCAGTTATGGCATCTTTATTCGCACATAAGATAACAAATTCGTACGGGTACCACAGAGTTGACAAGGTCAACTCTATTTTTTCTCGTTTAATTTATTGTTAAAGAATATTTGATTTTAAAATTATTTATTTAGATCAATGAATTATATATAGTTAAGTATAGGAATGTATATGTGTACATGTTTACATAATGCACGAATTTCCATATATACATATTTGATGTAGCCCACCTACGTTTAAAATATATGAAATTATTGTAAATAAGACCTACAACTGTTCATTTTCGTTTTTTATGGGTGAATGTATAAGGTGAAACTGAAAGCGATTTTATATTTCAATTTTTAAAAAAAATTATAAAAAAAAAAATATTTATAATGAACTAATAAAATTTAGTTTTTTTTCGAATCTAATAAATAATTTTTAAGAAATTTTAATTTAACTTCTATTTTAAAGTTTACACTCATTTGTACTCATGTATGTATGAATCTCTATTTGTTTGAATGTAAAATTAAGAGTTTTTAAGTAATTTTTAATATTTTTTAATGATTTATTGAATATCAGCAAAATTTAATGGTGCATCGAATACTGGAATGTAAATATTAAAAAAAATTCTATCTGAAATTGAGGTATGCATTTGATTTACAAACAAAGTTGGTAATAAAATTTGAAATCTTTTTAATAAAATAATTTTATAGTTGGCAGAGTACTATAAAATTAATACAGGAGATAATGCATCCTTTCTATAAAAACTAAATTCAACCTGTTCTGTGTCATAATACTTCTTGTATATTTTGAACAAAAATTGTCATTAAATCATTAATGTAAAATTTTCGGCAAATTATTAAAATTTATAGAATTTACAAACAACCACACTAAAGAAAAATAGTTCCTCACTTGTTCTATTTTCTCTCTCGTGAGAAAATATAAGCAAATATCAAAGCAGAGACAAATTGATTATGTTAAAATAAAATTTTGTTTACAACGATAACAATTTTCAAGTAAGCGGGAAGTTGTTGAAATCTACAAGTTCATAAACTGAAAAGTTGCAAAAATTAAATATTATTCTAACTGTTTGATAAGTCGTCTCCGCGATAACTAACTGTGCTTCGATGAAACGTATTGTTTTTGCAAATAAGAATATATTCCATACATAGGCAATTTTTTGAACTCTAATGGTTTTAAGTATTTTACGTCTGCATATATGTTAAGTATTTGATCTAATTCAACATAACAATATTTAGCAAAATTTTATGAAAAATTAATGAAAACGAAAAAAATACTAAAATTCAACAATATTTCCGTATAAACTCCCAAATGTCCCAAAGAAAAAGGTAGAGAAATTTTTAGGAAATTATTAGCAGCCCTCTTTATTTTGTTTAACTAAAATTTTTATTTGCTTTCCCTCTCATAAGAGCCAGTAAATTTTACTGGTAATAAATATCATTACCAGTAAAATTTAGTAAAGTCAAAATCTTCCTTTACACCTTTCAACATTATTATTTTTAAAATACATACTTATTTCTCTTTACTGCTCTTCCCCTAGGTGTATGCAATAAATGAATATAATTTAGTAGAACAACTTCAATAAAAATGATTTAAGGGAAAAACGAACTACATATTACATACTTTTATATGAGTCTATATATATATAAGTATTTGTATACGCATATCTATATTTTATATTTATTATAACTGTTTAAATATAATTTAAGAATAGTTATTTCGTTTTCTGCAATAAAAATACGCAAAATAAAAATTAATGTTTGTGATCATCATGGTACAAAAATGCGTTTGTATAATATGTATGTAAGTATACATATGCTTGTATGTATGTAAAAAATAATATTGCAATAGTATATTAAAATCAGTTAAAAAAAAAAATTATAAAATATAAAACGGAGAAAAAAAATAAAGAAAAGAAAAAATTAAAAAAAAACCAATCAAAAACAAAAAAAGAAATGGAAGCCAAACAAAAGGAAATGACCTAAAATAGTTAGCGTCTAAGTACAATTTACAATTTATAAGGTTTCATTTCTATAAAATTTCTTCTTCTCTAGATGTAGGTACTTAATATTAATATAGAAATGCATACGTACATGCATCTAATATATGCACTTCTCTACCTTAATATAGTTAAGAAAAAAAAACAGACTGTTTTAAAGTTATAATATTGCATATTGTTGAATATATGTGTGTGTAGACAATTGCTTTGTTTAAGTGGACTTAAAACGGTTTTTAATATAACACACTCAATTTTTTAATTTTAAATTGAAAAACTTATATGTATACATATGTACATTAAGCACTTATGCATATAAATATGTAAGAAGTAATGAATTTTCAACAATTTATAGTACATAAATATATATTTTCATATTATTTATTGCTTACATATAGAAAAAAATTGTATACAGTCGGGCCCATATATAAGCAACTCGCATAAACGCAAGACTTCTTTATTACGAAAACAAACTCAATTTACTCTTCTTTGTTGTTCTTAATTTGTGGTTTATATAAGCATATTGGCTACAAGCAAAAATCTTTTATAAACTTAAATGAATTTGTCGCATTCACCTCCTTCATCTTTATATAGAGCTCCTTTTATAAGGAAAAAAAATTTTTTAATTTCATCTAAAACCGAATTCTGACGTTACAGTTGTCATAAATTATATTTTAATTATATGTAACATTTCATGTCTCTGTAAAATTTGTGTTTATATTCTAACTCGTCTTTTAAGAATACCCGAATATAAGCAAAGAATTTTAGACGCAATTTTGTATACACATGTTAGTGGATTCGATTGAATATATTTATGTAAATATGTATGTATGTACATATAGTAAACATTTATAAATTTGCTTATATGTGAGGTAAGTATACGCGCCAATTTTAGTTCATATGGACATTGTGTAAATAAGTACATTGCACTTTAATTTTAAATAACAAAAAAAAAAAGCAAAATGCAAAAATAAAACAGGTATATATATATGAATTTAAATGTGTATATTATGTCAATACATATAATATTATGAAAATATGTATATAAAGACTTGAAAAAATTTTAAAAGTATTGCAATACTATATGTATATATACCGAAATGTTGACTTTATTTAACGCAATTGTTTTTTGAAAAAACACGTGCAATTTTTCGTATATTTTCGTATATAAGGAGTTCAGTTATGTAAGGGAATCGCAATCTATTGTAGATTAGTTAGTATATTGTATTGGGTTAAAAATGTCTTGAAGTTCAGTAACCGAATTTTATTTACTTACAAATATTTCATGGAAGTCGAAAATGCAGGTTTGCCCAAAGAAATGTAGAAAAATTCGGAACCCAGACAATTTCTAAGTATATCGTAAATATAATATTATAAATGCAAAACATTTAATAATCAATATCGAACTGAAAAATTTTGAGAATGCAAACAAGAATAAAAGTTATTGGTCTCTTTAAATTCATTTATAATATAGAGTAACGACTGTCGAATACAAAATCGGCTGAAAGGGCAGTATAAATTCATTGTAAATTGAGAATCGATATAAGCAACCCATACTCGCATAGATTCCATATAATGTTTTCATACAATAATTGAATTTTAATTCATTAAACTCAATTAAAATGTTTGTTTAATCGATTTTAATAAATAGAATAATAAAATTATTTTGTATACGAGAACAAGAAAGTTTCGTTACGAGAATTATTCAAAGGGCACTGTATATTTGCTTTGCAAATTGCAAGTAAACTCCATAAGATTCGTTTAAATAATTCCATATCATCCATACATAAAAATATTTAATCCTGGCAACACTATAAATGGTCACTTGCATGTATTACGTATGTACTATAATTGTTGCATATAACTAGGAACAATAATATTTTTATAAATGAAAATCTATTTTAACGTAGCGAACTGTAAAAGTGCTGGTATTATTTTGAACATACTTGTACATAATATTAAATAGTATAATTAAAGAGAGGAAAAAGAATTAAAAAAGCGTGTTTGAAGTATGCATAAAATTGAAATTTTGTAATAATTAAATAAAAACAAAAAAAAATCATAAAATTTAATAAATATATATGAAATATTTCCAGAGTAATAGATGATTAGTCTATATTAAAAAATTATTTCAAGTTTTATTAATTTTTTTTTTGTTGTAAATATTAAATTGGATTTTCTATAGAAATTTATATATGTACATATATACAAAAAATCTATATTTTTATGCATAGTACTCGTATATAATTATGTATGCTTTATATATAAATTTATGGTAAAATCATTGTAACCTTCTGTAATATTTTAATTTATTCGGTTTGATTTAGTTCATATGAATATTAATTTGAAATTATTAGAAAAATTTACATTACAATAATTGTACATATTTAATAAATAAATGTAATATTTCACTTTCAATGTGAATATGCCTCTGTATTTGCGTATAAGAGTGATATTTTTCCATAATGCATGCATATTTAATAATATAAATTCATTTATTTGACATAAGGTTATAATCAAAAAAATCAAAAACCTACGCTATTGTATATAACATAATTCTAGCATTTCGGCCCACTTAATAATTTTCTTAATTATTTCACTATCAAAATTAAAATTTTGGGAAATTTCATAAAAAATAAGAGAAAATTTTATTTTGTATCAAACAAGTGTAGCATTTGATTAAATTAACATTTAACGAGAAAAAAGAGAGTTGACTGTGTTAACTCTGTGATATCCGTACGAATTTCTTATCCTATGGGACAGACTATAACTTTAAGTTGCCATATTACTATATTAATTGCAAAATTTTAGTAATGTGTTTTCCATGTTTTGTAAGATATGGTCAAACTACTATTGAAGTTGTATGGCAGCCACGGCAAGAAGTCAAGTAACTTCAACGGTTTTTTTCAAACACATTGGCCCTACTAGTTCGATTGTGTGAAATTTCAATACCACAGCTTTTATAGTTTTTGATATATAACCAAATAAATTTTGAAGTTGTATGGTAGCTACCCAAACCAGTACCTCGATCATACCCAATTTAAATAGGGTTCTGGCATTTACCATATTGCAAATAATATGCGAAAATTTGGTGAACTTAGCTCAATTCGACGCTGATCATATACATATACTTGGGTCCATATCCCAGGCCATTATTTCTTAGTTTTACAAACAGTAAAGCAAATTTAGTATACCCTTCGAACATACGGTTATAAAAATAAGTAAAACTCTTGAGAAAACATTTACGACTATTAATTCTATTGAATAATATAAGCAGAGACATAGAATAATTTGAATTTTAAATTGTATTGTCAAAAATGAAGTTTTAATTGGCAAAATTGAAGTTTCGATTATTTCAAATACATTCTCTTTTATTATTATGTTCACTTGAATTAACAGACTGTGCCAAACGACTATGAAATTTCACCAAGTTTGTCGAATTATTTGAGCATTGAGAGCACAAGTAGTTAGCATTACATATTATCGATTAGTAGTTCAAGAGATATTTAGATATTTTATTACTTGCCCACATTAATTTGTTAGAGTTCATTAAGGTATGTTATGGCTGATCGTTAAAGTATGTGCTGATTTAAAACTAAAAATTTTTAAAATTTTCAATTTCAGACAATATATTTCATAAAATCTTACCTTATAAACACCATCAATGAGTCTAATTATTTCCTCTGGTTCAACTTCTTTGGCCATATTGTAATATCATTGGTATACAAATTATTTAACTTATGAACTGAAATTATACAAAAAAAGAAAAGAAACATAGTTATAGCATTTTACCTTCGTTTAAAACATTTAATTTTAAAAATTTTATTAAATTAAAATTTAAAATTTACAAATTGAATATTAATTGTTTTCAATATTATTTCTAGAATTGCTAATTCCTAAATGACTCAATTATATACTGTAATATATAGAATCAACCCCGTTCTTTCTTTTAAAAATTTTAAAAATACAAGGCATGAGAACACAATGCTGAAAACAAAACAAAAAAAGTGAGATAAAATTTTTTAATTTTAAAATATGCCGCTATCTCAAAACTTTCATTCTATTTACACACAGTCAAACAATTGTATTCGATTTGTATTTGTTGTTTTAGCACTTTAATTAATTAATAAAATACTTTTGCAAAGGCATAGATTGATTGATTGACTCATTTATTATTTTTTTCCAAGACAATGATTGAAAAACTTTGATATTTACAATTTTTCCTGTTATTTTTTTTTTTTTATCTAAATTTGTGACAAAATATCTTATCGTTTATTGTGTGATCTTATCGTAAAAACTTTATATTATTATATTATGTATTTTGATCGAATTTCAAGTATGTTATAAAATCATTTGTTCAAGAGATTTTTTATTAATTTAAAAAAAAAATTAATATTGCCAATAAAAGATAAATTATAAGTTAAAGTGTGTGGTCAATATTTTGTAAAAAAAAATCACCATTATTTGAAATTGTAATTGTGATAAGTCTAAAATATGACATAAATCAAAATTACTCAAAAAATAAATCAATTACTATATGAAGAATTTTTACGACTATTTCATACGTGTAAGTAATAAACGGTCCGAACAAATAATTGAGAGCAAATTGTGAATGGAACGCTGTCTTATATGTAAATTCTGTTATGCAGGAACAATAATCGATCTATAAATTCGAATATTGAAGAATTTTCTTTAATTTTTCATTTAAAAATGTGATTAATGTAATCTACCACAATAAATATAATTCTAAATAATATATATATTTAAAGTGTTATATGTTTAACTTGTAATATGTCCTAAAATGGAACGTTACAATATTCTCAAAGTACCAAAAGTATTTTTGAATAATTTTTTAATTTCATAACCTCTAAAGCATTCTAGAATGCATTTTAAGGTATATCTAATTAAATTTTGAATTGAATATGAATAACATGTAATTTGGCAACTACAATTAGGTCTATTAATTTAAAAATGGTTTAAAGAATTAAGTTAGACATACAAGTACATAGAATCAAATTATTTAAGTTTTAGGATTTTCGTGAAATTTGTAATTATAATAAATAAATTTTGACATAAAAAAAAATGTGTATTTCCGAACACGCTTATAAGCAGCACTTTTAACACGTTGACGGACAGTTGCGTCTATAGCCGTCAAGTTCAAGTTCACTATGTGACATGACGGCAATATCCGTCCAATACGAAACGGTCGTTTTTAGACACTGCGGCTGTAGCAGCACAAATGTGCATTTACCAGCGTACAAGTAGAAGCCTAGTGTCATGTTTTCGAAAAAAAATTTAGTATGCAAGGTTATACATTGAGTATGCACGTGGTTGTGAACGGAGTAGTGCGATCTTGTTTTCTCTTCAATTTACAGTTGCTATTGATACATTTAACAATATTTTTTGTTTATACTGGTAAGTATTTGTTTATGATTGATATAAATTTAGCATTTTTTCATTCATTTAGCGATATTTATAGTTATACTGTTTACTTTTTGTTTTTTATGATATTACATTTGAAATATAAAAACAATAATGTAAATAATAAATGTATAAATAATATACAATAAATAATAATATAAAATAAAATTGAATGTTTTAGCTGAAGTGTCTAGAGTCCGCTGGCGCCATGACGGTTGTAGCCGCAACCTAATTAAAGGTGCTGAATTAATCAAAATTAAGTGTAAATTGAAATTCAAAATTATATTGAAAATAAAATTATTTCATATGATAGTTTCCAACTGTTATAATAATATCGTATTATAAATTTAGGAAGTTATGTGCTCTATAACTGAATTCTGTTTTAAAAGTTCACAAGAAAGTTATTAGAAAGAATTAAATTAATTTTTTCTTTTATAGCGTGGAACAAATGCAAAAATTTTTTCTTTTCTTTTCATAATATAGGCAATAATAAATATTATACCGTTATATTATTTTTGTTAATCTAAATTTTACAGCTATAAAAATTTTATTTGAGAAGAAATATAGAGAAGAAAAACATTTTAATCCATTTGTTAATCCATTTGTTTTATTACACACTTGTTTTCGAATTCTCTATGGCATTATGTATACAAGATATCCATTCTACATACATACATACATAAATCGATTTAATATCGAATAATCGATTTAAATAATTTTGATTTATTTTAAATTTTCTTGTAATATTACTTATGTAATGTTTCAATCCTTAATATTTTTCTTAGTTATAGAAGGCAGAAAGAAGTTGGAGCAGAAAGAAGTTGGAGCAGAAAGAAGTTCTCCTAAATATATGCTAAATTCATTATTTTCTGTGCATTAATCAATACCTTATTCAATTCATTATAACTTAAAGATTTTTTAAATTTTGAGACGCAAATATTTTTTTGTTTTTCAATTTTTATGAATTATATGAAATATTTGAATTTTCCATCAATTTTTCATCATGAACTAGATTTAAATAACTATGCCAACTAAATTTACATAAGTTCAAAGTCCGATTCCTTGTTCCACAAAAAGTCGATAACTGCAAAGTTCGTATTAAATAATTTATAAGAGCACTCTCAAGCTAGTTAATACACGCATTAACGATTTTGCTCGCAAGATTTCAGCAAACACTAAGTTTGATGATTCTAAAATCAACCATTCACCCAGTTAGACTGTTGTTTTATAAAACTTTAAATAATAAACTCCAGTAAATATCCAGTATTTTTGATTCTATATGCTTGAACTTTATTTTCTTAATCCCATAATACGGAATATATGGAAAACAGGGGTTTTAATAACACCGATTTTCCAAAAATTCGATTTCTGGAGAAATTGTTACTTAGCTCTTTTATTTGCTGCTCCCCTCATTTTTTTTTAATTTAAGCATATATTGAATTATGATTGTGTACCACCATTTATTCTTTTGAAAATGAAACGAATTTCATCTAAACGTTATAAATTTTTCGGAGTCGAGTGATTACACGATTAATTTGTACTCGACTGTATTTAGGAAAATGCTATAGGGTCATCTTTAACTTTCCACTTATTTATTTCATAAAATTTAATAATTTTTTATATTAAATGAGATACCTTGTATATATATCAGTAAATGTATATATACATTAATATTTCGAAACGGAAATATATAATGAGATGAAATTAGTTCAACAGTTTAAATATTTAGAGAAAAAATATTATAGATTCAAAATAAAAAATTTTATTAAAACAAAAACACAAAAAAAAAATTTAAGTTAAGTATTTTACGCGATAAAAACAAGTTTTTTTTTTCAAATAAATTCCGAAAGTTTTTCCAATTTAAATTATAAAAAAAAAATGAAAAATATCGGAATAATTTAATGAAAAAAATGTGTGTATGTTGATATACCGAATATGTAAATTAAATGTTTATTAAATTATTTATTAATAAAATTATGTATAGAAAACAAAAAAAAAAAATAGTTTAAAGACCTCTAAATGATAACCTGGAACGTAAAAAAGAAAGCTATAAATATGCACATATATTAAAAAAAAATTTTTAAAATCAAATATGGGAACAAAAGCAAAACTGTTGCAAGTATATCGAACATTTCTAATAAGTTGGAATTCCGTAAATAAAACTTAAGTGTTACCGTGTCATAAAAATTAAACGCGCATATTCCTACCATAACAAACAAAATCGGTATCATAAAATTTATTGGAGTATCCAATTAAATGGATTTATAAAAGTAAAAGTGAATTGCGAGATTTGTGCTACGTAAAATGCCGTATGCAAGATCAGTGCAATATCAATTATTTGCTTATTTATCGATTATTTTAATTATTATAATTAATTAAAATTTTCTTGTTGTTTTTTTTTTTTTGCTTTTTAAATGAATTTTAATAGTTCATGGTTTTGTTTTCAATACAAAAGTAGTGAGAAATTTTTATCGAAATCAATTTTGTTTTTCATAATATTATTTTCTAATAATTGAGAAAATTTTTTAATAAAAAAATAATAAAAAGAAAATTTTAATTACTGCAATGTAATTTTTGTAACATAAATCAATAATATTAAAGGAATTTGTAAAATCAATTGTGTAGTAATCAAGCCGGAAGATAATTTTCAAAAAAAAATTAAGAATTATAATAAATAATGGGCCTATATAGCAAATAATTGACAAATTTCGAATGTAGTATGGAATGGGAGAGGGGGCATTCATAGGTTAGAACACTTAAATTGCTCTTTTAAATGCTATTCGGTGTATAACACAAAATTTAATTAGATTTATAGGTTGTATATATAAAAACATGAAGAAAAATTAAATTTGTATGTATATAGCAATGAATAACGTATATGAAAGATGTCCGTAGAAAATATAAGACTTTCTATTTAAATCAACTGTATTTTATAACAATTTGTTAGGTTTAAAGACTATTAATATATTGGTACTCACTGCAGAAGGTAAGAACTTCTCAATGTTCTTATTAGAATTAGAATATTTCTGCTATCTAACTCATGCTATTTAATTTCTGCTTAAGTGAATAACGAAATTTTGTTTAAACATCATACGCTGGGAGGTGGATTAGTAGACAGGGTTGACTGAGGATGCTAAAAGCAACAATAACTTAACATATTATGTGAATAACTTGCAAATAAATAAAACACAAAAATCGTACTGTAAACTTAAATTCAAAATATTTTCAATTCAAAAAAATTATATATTTTTAGTATGGAATCTCTTAAACGCCAAGTTATTAAAGTCATTTCTGTTATATTTGTATCAAAAATAAAATGTTCCT